GCTGCTTGTCATTTCTAATTCCCAGCTCAACTGTACAGAAATACAATGGCATGTTCTGGTTTAGTGTTTTATTCATAACTTTTCACTATTTTATTTTATCCAAGTTGCTTTTAGAGCCCCGTTTGCCATCTCTAGTGATTTAAATTATTTGAAATACTAGAGGCCCAGTGCATGGATTCATGCACTGGTGGGGTCCCTTGGACTGGCCTGTGCCCTCTCACAATCTGGGACCCCTTGGGGGATGTCGGGACTGCTTAGTTTCGGCCCAATCCCTGCAGGCCAGGCCAAGGGACCCCACTGGTGCACAAATCTGAGCACCAGGCCCATTTCAGCCCGATCCCTGCAGGCCTGGCCAAGGGACCCCACCAGTGCACGAATCCATGCACCGGGCCTCTAGTATGCATATAAGATCTTTGGTTAATCTCTTCACGTCCTCCCTCCTCCCCACTTCCCTCTGAGATTCATTAGTCTGTTCCATGTTTCCACGCCTGTGCGTTGAGCGTCTGCCCCCCTGGTGATCTTGCAAGTCATAGCTACTGGTCAAACAGTCCAACGGTCCAATGGTCAGATGGTTGCTTAGGCTTTTATATATATAGATATGGACATCTGGGATTTTCTTCTGAACTCTCTGATAAAACAGTATGCTTTTAACTGTTGAGATTTACGTTGATTCTTATCATCTCTTCTCTTGATTTTTTGTTTTCTTTCTAAATCAAAATGCTAGGATATATCTGTTTTAACCATATTCCTTCTACAGTGTTAAACACTCAAGCTAAAAAATACCCACTGAAAGTCAACATACAGAGTCCACATGCCAAGACACAGAGAGAATGAATATGAATGTATGTAATACTTGGTTTTCTGGAAATTTCAAGTAACATTGTCCTTACTTCTCTGCTCTAGGACTTCTGGTGGTAAGAATGATCATGATTCATTACTAACCCAAGATTTGTGTCCATAGTCAACATCTTTGTTTTTGTTAAATGTAGATGCTTGTGTGCACTGCTGATGGTGGTCTCCACTCTTCTCCGGAAGAAGAAGTTACCTCTACTGATCTTAAAGTAATCAAGAAAAAGGAAAAGGGGAGACGGAAAAAATATGCCTGGAAGCATGGCAGTAAGTCACCAGCCCTTTTGCTCATTGTGGCTGACTACATCTATCTGTTGAATCCTAATTACTTGTGAACCAGAGACCCATTTACCACACTTGGGTGTTTGGTTCATTAGGCATCCAGACATTCTTTAAGGAAAGAGTCATGTCATGAGCCAGTAGTTTATAACATGACATTTCTCCTTATAAAATTCAGATAGATATGTGACTACCATTAATATTATATGTTTCACTATGTTAAATTTATTTTAGTTACTCCACCACTTAAGAATGTCAGAAAGAAAAGGTTCCACAAAACAAGAAGAAAGGTTAGTTGCATGCTATTTCTGTGCCTACTGGGTGGATTGGGAAAGGATTATTAACAGGGTGTGGGGGAGGGGAAAAGAGACAGTTCGTTGGGGATTAATTTGTTCATTCATTTATATGTGCGATAAACATTTATTGAGTGTGAGCTAAATGCCACTGTGTGCTAGCAATTGGGAATATATAGTGAACAAAAAACCAACCTGATCCTTGAGGTTATAGGCTAGTCCTTTAGGTATCTGGTTGTGTCTTGAACTTGAAACTTCTGCTAATGCTTTTAGTTTCCAATTACAAGATTTAGTTTTAAAGTGAACCCATGCAGAACCTGAGATTTGGGAATTGTGGTTATGTTCCTAACCTTACCTCAGATTTTTAGAACCATGAGCAAGCTACTGGAGTATTATAGTTTGGTTTTATTTTTTTTAATTAAACGTTTTTATTTTTAAATAATTGTAGAGTCACATGAAGTTGTAAGAAAAAAAGGGAGTTACCATGTACACTTTACCCAGTTTTCCCCATTGTAACTTTTTTTTTGCAAAATTATAGTACAATATCACAAAGAAGAAATTGACATTATTACAATTTACCAATCTTATTTAGATTTCTCCAGTTTTACTCCTACTCCTCTGTGTGTGTGTTTAGTTGTCTGCAGTTTTATACTATATCCACCTACACAGTCAAGATACTGAAAAGTTCTGACACCACAAGAATCCCTCATCTTGCCGTTTTATAGTCACACTCACCTCCCACCTACTTTATACCCCTATTCTCTAACCCCTGGCAATCATTAACATGTTCTATAATTTTGTCATTTTGAGAATGTTATATAAATGGAAACCTACAATATATAACATTTAAGATAGGTGTTTTTCCACTCAGCATAGTTTCCTTAATATCTGTGCAAGTTGTTGCATGTATCAATAGTTCATTCCCTTTTATTGCTGGGTAATTTCATGCTATGAATGTACCACAGTTTATTTAACTGTTCACCCATTGAAGAACATCTGGGTTGTTTCCAGTTTTTGATAATTATAAGTAAAGCTGTGAACAGGTTTTTGTGTGAACATAGCATCCGTTACTTTGGGATCAATGACCAGGAGTGCAATTGTTGGGTCATATGGTAGTTGCATGTTTAATTGTATAAGAAACTGCCAGACTGTTTTCCAGAGTGGCTGTACCATTTTACATTCCCACCAGCAATGTACCAGGATGTGTGAACTACCTTCTCTATATCCTCACCAGCATTAGGTGTTATCACTATTTTTTATTTTAGCCATTCTGATAGATGTGTAGTGATCTCCTTGTGATATTAATTTGCATTTCCCTGATGACTAATGATGTTGAACATTCTCGTTTGCGTATTTGCTATCTACTTAATCCACTTCAGTCAAATGTCTGTTCATGCCTTTCACCCATTTTCTAAATTGATTTTTAAAATTGTTGAGTTTTGAGAGTTATGATCTAAATATTAGGGTGTTTTTTGGGGGTCAGATATCTGGTTTGCAATATTTTTTCCCAGTCTGTAGCTGGTCTTTCATCTTCTTCATAGGGTCTTTCAAAGACCAAACGTTGTTGTTTTTTTAAATGAGGTCCAATTTATTGATTTTTCTCGTAACTTTTTGCGCAGTCCAGATCCTCAAGATTTTTTTCTATATATTTTTTCTAAAAAGTTTAGATTTTACATTTAATTCTACAATTTGTTTTGGAGTTAATTTTTTTATTATTTTATTATTATTATTTTTTTATTTATTGCTTAAAGCATTACAAAGGGTATTACATATGTGACCTTTTTTTTCCCCGCCCTTGACAATACCCCGGCTTCCCCTACCCCCCAGTGTCTTATGTCCATTGGTTATGCTCATATGCATGCATACAAGTCCTTCGGTTGATCTCTTACCCCCCTCCCTCCTGCCCCCCAACCCTCCCCAGCCTTCCCGCTGCAGTTTGATAATCTGTGTGAGGCAGCTCTGCCTCTGTATCTATTATTGTTCAAAAGTTTATAATGGTCTCTATTATCCATGAATGAGTGAGATCATGTGGTATTTTTCCTTCATTGACTGGCTTATTTCACTTAGCATAATGTTCTCCAGTTCCATCCATGCCGTTGCAAATGGTAAGAGTTCCTTCTTTTTTACAGCAGCATAGTATTCCATCGTGTAGATGTACCACAGTTTTCTAATCCATTCATCTACTGATGGGCACTTAGGCTGTTTCCAGATCTTAGCTATGGTGAATTGTGCTGCTATGAACATATAGGTGCACATATCCTTTCTGATTGGTGTTTCTGGTTTCTTGGGATATATTCCTAGAAGTGGGATCACAGGGTCAAATGGGAGTTCCATTTCCAGTTTTTTGAGGAAACTCCATACTGTCTTCCATAGTGGCTGCACCAGTCTGCATTCCCACCAGCAGTGCACAAGTGTTCCTTTTTCTCCACATCCTCTCCAGCACTTGTCGTTTGTTGATTTGTTGATGATAGCCAGTCTGACAGGTGTGAGATGGTACCTCATTGTTGTTTTGATTTGCATCTCTCGGATGATTAGTGACTTTGAGCATGTTTTCATATGTCTCTTGGCTTTCTGAATGTCCTCTTTTGAAAGGTGTCTATTTAGATCCTTTGCCCATTTTTTGATTGGATTGTTTATCTTCTTTTTGTTAAGTTGTATGAGTTCCCTATAAATTTTGGAGATTAGTCCCTTATCAGATATGACGTTGGCAAATATGTTTTCCCATGGAGTTAATTTTTGTAAAAGGTATAAGGTTTAGTTCAAGGTTTTTTTGTTTTGTTGTTGTTGTTTGTTTTTGCCTTTACTTGTCCAATTGCTCCAGCACCATTTGTTAAAAAGCCTATCCTTCCTCTATTGTATTTCTTTTATACTGTTGTCAAAAATTGGTTGGGTATATTTGTGTGAGTCTTTTTCTGGGTTACTTGTTCTGTTGTATTAATCAATGTGTTGATCCTTCCATTGATATCACATGTAGCTATATAATGTCGTGAAATCAAGATGACTGTTCTCACTTTTTTTTCTTTGTCAAGATTGTTTTAACCTTTTAGACAGCCTGTACCTTTCCATATAAATTTTAGAATAAGCCCAGCCAGTGTGGCCCAGTTGGTTAAGTGTCGTCCCATGCACCAAAGGTCACTGGTTTGATTCCGTCAGGGCACATGCCAAGGTTTTGGGCTGGATGCCAGTGGGGGGTGTTCAGGAGGCAGTTAGTTGTTTCTCATTAATGTTTCTCTCTCTCTCTCTCTCTCTCTCTCTCTCTCTCTCTCTCTCTCTCTCTCCCTTCCTTCTTGTCTAAAACCAATTTAAAAACATATTTTAAAAAGATTACATATTAAATTTTAGAATAAGTTTGTCTATGTCTATAGAAAAGTCTTGTTGGAATTTTGATAAGGAATTGCATCAAACCTATAGATTAATCTGAGGAGACTTTACATCTTTACTAGTCTTTCAATCTATGAATATGGCTGCCTTGGCTTTTATATTGTCAGTCTACAGCATTCATTGAATGCCTACTAAATGTAAACCTAAGTTAAGAATAGTTTTAGACTCTTTAAGCCAGGGGTCCTCAAACTACGGCCCGCGGGCCACATGCAAATACAAATATTGTATTTGTTCCCGTTTTGTTTTTTTTTACTTCAAAATAAGATATGTGCAGTGTGCATAGGAATTTGTTCATAGTTTTTTTTAAAACTATAGTCCGGCCCTCCAACGGTCTGAGGGACAGTGAACTGGCCCCCTGTTTAAAAAGTTTGAGGACCACTGCTAAGCCTTAGTGAAGTACGACAATCGTACTATAACTTCATTGTTTATTATGTTTTATTTTATAGCTGGTTGATTTCAAACAAGTCGAAGAAGTCAGCTTTACTGAAGTAGAGCAGTCATAATATAAGCTTATTGTTTGCCCTTAGTATGTTTTATTTCATAGCTTATTAATTTCAAACAGATAAAAAAAATCATAAAAGCTACTTTCAAGCCTTTCTTCTCATCACTAAACCTCACTCCCACACAAACACTGAATTTGATTCACTGAAAAATGAATTCATTGTTTAATGTCTGATAACTCCTAGAGGAAAAGATATAGTTTGGCCAGTGACCCCTTGTATTCTAATCAGCCTTTTTTCTCTGATATTTAAAATGCCATTTTTTATAAGTCAGGGTTCACTTTTTACCAGCAGTTGTTTGCAATCACTATCCCCCCTCAAAGTTCTAATTTCTATCTGTGGCATGACGAATCGGTTGCTGTGGAGATGATTATCTAAAACTGGTTTAAGGGAGAACACATAGCTAAGACCCATCTTTTAATAGGAAAATATATAAATAATAAAGATGTGGGGAAGTGGAATCTGGGAATTTGGATCTTAAACTAAATTACTTCTAAATAACAAATAAGGAATTATAGTTCTTTGCCAATGTGGGTCAGGGCAAGTAATTAAAAATTGAGGTCTAAGGGTTGCACCTCTGAGACAGGTCTTTAACATAGAGTTGCAGGTTAAAAAAATTAAATGTCTCAAGAAATTTGATTGGGAAAAAGAATAAGCTTAACATACACAAATCTAGAACCTGGTCAAGATTCCTTCGTAGCCCTAGCTGGTTTGGCTCAGTGGATAGAGTGTCAGCCTGTTGACTGAAGGGTCCAGGGTTTGATTTCAGTCAAGGGCACATGCAAGTGTGCAGGAGGCAACCGATCCATGTTTCTCTCTCATCATTGATATTTCTATCCCTCCCTCTCCCTTCCTCTCTGAAATAAATAAAAATATATTTAAAAAAGATTCCTTCATGAATAGCATTACTTAAAGTATAAATTTGGATGGATATCTTAAAGAGGGTTAATTATTTGAATTTGTATGTAGAAAAAGGGCTTTCCTGGAAAATACAGGGTGTTAAATGATATTACTAATATTCCTCCTACCCCCCACTTTGGTACAGTGCTCTGACTCTCCTGATTCAGAAAAGGAAGTGAAAAGACTGCTGTGCTCTGATGCTGAAGCTGTCAGTGTCCGTATCCTTTTGTATTAAACTAGGGGCCCAGTGCACGAATTCATGCACTTTGAAAGGAACTGTGGGCCGTGAGGCTGCAGTGGACACAGGGACAGGCCTCAGCCCATCCTCCGCACTCCTTCCTGGCCCCTCGCACCATGGCCCCTGGTTCCCTGTCTGCCAGCAGCCCCTCTTCTCCTGCTGCTGCTCCCATGCGCTGAGGGCACTGGCCCCACTCGCACCCACTGCTGGCGCAAAGCAATTGGGGCTGGCACAGAACAATTGGGGCTGGCACCAACAGCAGGTGTGAGTGGCAGCTGCCAGACTCAATCACCCCTCAGGAGCAGGGGGAGGTGGAAAAGCCCTGAGGGTTGATCAGGGCCGGCAGCTGCTGCTCGCACCCACTGACGGTGCCCAGTGATTGGGACTGATGCCGGGCGCCAGCAGTGGGTGCGAACAGCGGCTCTGGTGCCAGCAGCGGGTGTGAATGGGGCCGGTGCTGGCAGCAGGTGCAAGCACCCAATGGAACCACAGCATATGGGAACAAAGAATTTTCAGTAACTACCAGAGGCTCGCCCCGATGACAGTGATTGGTGCCCTGTCTTGGTCTGGCGCTCCCACTCACCTGCTCCACCAATTCGCCATGGCCAATGCCCGCCATGTTCTGTGCTCTGCCACCTGCTGCTGATGCCTGCCATGTTCCGCGCATGCCCCCTGGTGGTCAGCACATGTCATAGCGACTGGTTGTTCAGTTCTGCTGTTTGGTTTATTCGCATATTAGGGTTTTATATATATAGATATGATATGTGTAGTCTGTTCCATTCCATATGTACTTGCTGACAAGTCCTCACTTCTGGTACTTATGTGCTGATTTTGATGTATAGAACTTAAGATTTTTGGAAATGTTACTTTCTAGGTAGGAACAGTGAATTCATAAAATAAAATTTTATTTACCAGTACTTGTGTAATTCAATATAATGCACTTCTCCATACTAGGAATCTGGATAGAAAGGCCTAAAGTTGGATTAAAATAAATAGCACTTTCAGCAGAGAGCCTCTTCTCTTTCAATGGCATCTTCTCCTTTCTTTCTGCTTTTTTCCTTGACCGCCCCTTTCAGGATGGGAAGTAATTGCTGAAGGTGAAACCAAGGAAATCGAAAGTAAAGGCTCTGTTCCAAGCTTTGAGATGTCCCCCGGAACAAGTGGCTATAAGCGGGGTGATAGCTCACCAGGTATTTTAATAAAGTTAAAAAACAGGAGCTTCAGAGAGGGTAGGTGTTGACGCTGTGCAAGACTACTCTCTATAGACTTACAGGCCAATTACAGAAGGATGCCTTTGCCCTTCTTTCTGCTTATTGGTCACTCAGTACTTTGTGGGTTTTTTATTGCGGTTCTAATCTCTCATCAATCTATGGTATTATAAATTTCTACGGGCCCTTAGATTCTCTAAATATCTTGATCATTTAATACATGAATGAATGTTACATTGTTTTATATTTCCTGTCCTTGTTTTTTTGAAGGGACTAATATTCCTACAAGAAAAATTACTTATAAAATTCATTGGTTAGCCCAGCTGGCGTGGCTCAGTCTTGAGCATCGACCTATGAACCAGGAGGTCACAGTTTGATTCCTGGTCAGGCCTTATGCCTGGGTTTTGGACTTGATCCCCAATAGGGGGTGTGCAAGAGGCAGCCGATCATTGAGTCTCTCATCATTGATGTTTCTATCTCTTTCCCCATCTCCTTTCCTCTCTGAAATCAATAAAAATATATTTTATTTTTTATTTTATTTATTTTATTTTATTTTTAAATATATTTTATTGCTTTTTTACAGAGAGGAAGGGAGAGGGATAGAGAGTTAGAAAGATCGATGAGAGAGAAGCATCGATCAACTGCCTCCCGCACACCCCCTACTGGGGATGTGCCTGCAACCAAGGTACATACCCTTGACCGGAATCGAACCTGGGACCCTTCAGTCTCCAGGCCGACGCTCTATCCAGTGAGCCAAACCGGCTAGGGCAAAAATATATTTTAAAAAATTCATTGATTGCCCAGGAAATTTGAGGTGAAGAAGTACAATGGCAGCTGGAATGGAAGTCACTTGAAAAGTTTCAGGTAGTTTCACCTTCTTCTTGCTTAAAACCAATAGAATATCATATGCTTCGGAGGATACTCAATGATTCTAGCAATAGCAGTGATGAGGAGGAGGAAAAGGATAAGTACCAGGACGAGGACGAGGACGAGGAGGAGGAGGAGGAGGAAGAGGAGGAGGAAGAGGATGATGATGATGATGATGATGATGAAGAAGAATTTTACTATGATGATGAGAATGAAGAGGCGGAACAGTATTATGAAGAGAATATGCAAAGGGAGCTACAGGCCAAGTTGATTGAATTTGGCCAGTGTAAGACAAAGGAAGGAATCAGTTTAATAGGTAAGTTAGAAGAAAAAACAAAGGGGTGAGACAGAATGGGTGGCAGTGCCTAAGATTGACTCTAAACATACATTAGTTGCAAGGCTAAGTTTGAAAGGTTACTGCTCAGATGCATAGTGGACTTTTATTTATTTTTTCTTTATTATATAGGATTTATTTGGAAAATGTGGGCATGGGCGCCCATACATGCAGGCATATACCCCTTAGACATAGTGGACTTTTCGTTGATTTGGATTTCAATCCATTAGTTTAGGCTGTGTTTAGATACATAAAGTTTCTGTCTATCTCTGTTAGTTGTAGAAATTCGGAAGCATATTCATTACATGGAGAAAAAGATCCAAGAGATTCAGTGCAGAGAACAAAGACAAAAGAATCTCATCAAGAAAGTGGAAAACCTGACGCTGAAGGTAAATTCTCATTGGCTGGTATAAAGACATCTTGGTATCTTACTTTGAAAATCCCATCTTGGGTTTCCACTCATGTCTTCCCGGAGCAGCATTCTTGTTCACTCATGAAGCTAAACAACCTCTTAGAACCCCCTAATAATAGCTCTACTTCCTTTTATCTGAGTAATTTGATAATGTCACGTAAGCATTTTTCGGAAGGGGCCAGGAGACTTGAAATAATAATTTCCAATATTGAGCGTTTCCTATGTGAAAGGCACAGAAAGAACTTAACATTTTACATGTATCATTTCATTTCATCCTTACATCCCTGAAATATAGGTACTGTTACTATTCCCATTTTATAGATAAGGATTTTAAATTCAAAGTGGTTAAGTAACTTTCCAAGGACCACAGAAAGAGGTAGGACATAGGATGAACCCTGTTGTTTGTACTAAGATGTATTCATTGCAGTGAAAGAGAATTAACTAAATTTGTTTTTAAATTTTATTATGCATCTTTGAATAAGAATCAATATCTTGATTTATTTTTATTAATACACATTTCAACTAAAAGAAAATGTATGTTTATGCCATGTTTGCTTTCCTTTTTATAGAGAGGGAAATTCTGAAGCATCTGGAGAACTATATTGAATGACCAAGTGACATAATAGATGTGAACACTTTGAAAGATACAGATATATGGTATTGTTGTTGCATGCAGCATAGTTAGGAATAGTAATATTCTGACCTAGTGCAGGGAAATGGAGGCATTCATTAACACCAAATTCCAAGCCAGCTTTTTATTTTTTATTTTATTTTTTAAAAATATATTTTATTGATTTTTTTACAGAGAGGAAGGGAGAGGGATAGAGAGTTAGAAACATCCATGAGAGAGAAACATCGGATCAGCTGCCTCCTGCACACTCCCTACTGGGGATGTGCCCACAACCAAGGTACATGCCTTTGACCGGAATCGAACCTGGGACCCTTGAGTCCGTAGGCCGATGCTCTATCCACTGAGCCAAACTGGTTAGGGCCCAAGCCAGCTTTTTAAAAATAGTTCACCACAATCAAAGGATTTGTGCTAACTAGAAAAATGTAACATGAGGCATTTCAAACCTTTATTTCAGGACAAGAAAAAATGCTATGTAGGGTATATAAAATCAAATTGATGGTCTTGTAGTTAGGGGGTGCAGTTTTTATACTCTAAATCTTTTAAAAAGAGTGCTCCTTTGTTATGACTGACAGTTTTCCTATGTGAAAGGCACAGAAAGAACTTAACATTTTACATGTATCATTTCATTTCATCCTTACATCCCTGAAATATAGTATCAAACTATTTGCCAAACTGTTTGCCTCTCTTGGTTCTTCTTTTTTTTTTCAGACTCAGCATGCATTATTTACACAATTTGTTTTTCAGAATCATTTATACTCTGTGCTGGAGCAGCTTGAGTTACAGAAAAAACAAAAAAATGAGCAGGTAAGAAATGTGTTTTCAAATCAATCAGAAAATATTTGATACAAATAATACCGCACCCAACCCTCAATCTCATTTCTGTTCTTTTTTGTCATTGTTATTAATCCTCACTGAGGATATTTTTTCAATTGATTTTCTAGAGAGTGGGAGAGGGGGGGAGAGAGAGAGAGAGAGAGAGAGAGAGAGAGAGAGAGAGAGAGAAGAGAGAAACATTGATGTGAGAGAGACACATCAATTGGTTGTCTCATGCATGCACCCTGGGGATGGAATCTGCAACTCAGGTATGTGCCCTTGACTGGGAATCAAACCCAAAACCCTTCATTGCGCGGGCTGACGCTCTAATCACTGAGCAACACTGGCCAGGGCTCTTTTCTTATTTTTAATCCTCACCTGAGAGTATGCCTTCATTGATTTTAGAGAGAGTAAAAGGGAGGGAGGGAGGGAGGGAGAGAGAGAGAGCGAGAGAGAGAGAGAGAGAGAGAGAGAGAAGAGAGAAACATTAATTGGCTGCCTCCCATACATGCCCCATCTGGGGATTGAACCCGAAATGGGTATGTGCCTTGACCAGGATGAACCCAAGACCCTTTGGTGCACGGAATGATGCTCCAACCAACTGAGCCACACCAGCCAGGGCTTGGCTGTTCTTTATAGAGGAACAGTAGTGGTCAAATCTTCTAAATGAGGGTAGCAGGTTGGAATAAGGTTTTGTGAAAATTCACTCATTCAGCGGATATTAAGTGGAATGTGTATTAAGTGAAATGTTCTGGATGTACACACAGTGTTTTTTAAACTTGATTCTTCAATTACAGTTTACATTCAATATTATTTTGTATTAGTTTCAGGTGTACATCATAGTGGTTAGAGAGTTAAGTAATTTACAAAGTGTTCCCCTTGATATTTCCAGTACCCACCTGGCACCATACATAGTTATTAGAATACTAGAGGCCCGATGTATGAAATTCATGCAAGAGTAGGCCTTCCTTCCCCCGGCTGCTGGCACCAGCTTCCCTCCGGCACCGGGGACCCAGGCTTCCCTCACAGCCCTGGCTTCGTCCTGAAAGTCGTCTGGTCTAATTAACATATTATGCTTTTATTATTATAGAGTACTGACTACATTCCCTATGCTTTACTTTACATCCCCATGGGTATTTTGTAACTACCAATCTGTACTTCTTAATCCCTTCACCTTGAATAAGACATACAATACTTGTCCTCATGGAGCTAACAGTGTAGCAGGGAAGGTTGACAGTAAACAAATTATACAAACTTAAAGGTGCAAATAGTGCCCTAGCTGGTTTGGCTCAGTGGATACAGCATCAGCCTGGGGACTGAAGGGTCCCAGGTGCAATTCCGGTTAAGGGTATGTACCTCGGTTGTAGGCCTGATCCCTGGCCCCAGGTCAGGGGGCATGCTGGAGGCAACCAATCAATGTATCTCTCTCACATTGATGTTTCCCTCTCTGTCTCTCCCCATCACTTCTACTCTCTCTAAAAAAAAGAAAATCAATGGGAAAAATATCCTTGGTTGAGGATTAACAGAACAAAACAAAACAAAACAAAACAAACAACAAAAAAAGAAGAGGGTGCAGATCGTGAAGAAGTGCTGTGAAGGAAAAAAAGTCAATGGTGCTCTTTGAATAAAGAGAGTCCTGATTTAATTGGGGTGTATGTGTGTGTAATGATCAGCCTTTCTGAGGAAGTTATACTTAGGTTGAGATCTGATGGATAAGTCCAGGCTAAGGGGATCAAGAGCTTTTTGGATGGAACATATGCCAGGTCCTACATTTGGAAAGAACTTAGCCTCTTTGAGGACCTCAGGAGTATTCAAAACAAGGAAGAGAGTGACAACATCAGGTTGGAGAAATAGGCTGATGCCATATTGTCTGGTCCCTTGCAGGCCATGATAATGAGGATGGATTTTAGTCCTAAATGCAATTAGAAGCCCTTGAAGAGTTTTAAGCAGGAGACTAACATTTAATTTAAAGGATCACTCTGATTCTTATATGGAGAATGTATTATAGGAGGGAAGGACTAGAAGAGGAGGCCAATAAAGAGGCTGTGTGGTAATATAATGAGATGATGGTAACTTGGACTAAGGTGCGGGCAATGGAAAATTATATATATATATATATATATATATATATATATATATAAAATTTTAACTGCCATACCATATAAATGTTTTATAACAGCTTTATTGAGATATAATTCATATACCATACAATTCACCCATTTATTTATTTATTTATTTATTTATTTATTTTTACCATCACTTTTTTAAAATGGAACTCAAAACGAATACTTTATAGGAGTCAGAGAAAAATACTGCTGCTTAGAGGCTTCAAGAAATTGGCATCATGTATAAATACATGCTACAGATACACAGATCCCCCTGATAAGGCCCTTTACCACGCAATGTCCTTTGCCCTGCAAACTATATAGAGGAAAATTTTAACTGCATAAATGAATTTAAGTATCTGACTATGTTGTAGGACAAAAATGGAGTAAAATTAAACATTATCATTCTCTTGATTATAAGAGGATACCATCACTTTCTTATTTGGCAGCAGTAGAAATACATCCATGTTGTTTTTTTAATTCACCAATTTAAATTGTACAATTTAGTGGCTTTTAGTACATTCACAGAATTGTGCAGCCATCACCACAATCAATCTTAGAACATTTTCATTATCCTCAAAAGAAACCTGTATCCATTAGCATTCACTTCTCATTTCTTCTGAATCACGCCTACGCTTCACCTCTAGGCAACTACTAATCTACTTCCTACTAGTCTACTTTGCCTATTCTGGCTATTTCATATAAGAAGAAACATATATATTCTTTTGTGTCTCATTTATTTCACTTAGCATAATGTTTTGAAGGTTAATCCATGCTGCAGCATGTATTAGTATTTTATTTCATTTTATGGCTGAATAATATTCTATTGTACCGATATACCGCATTTTGTTTATCCATTTATCTATCAATGGACATTTGGGTTGTTTCCACATATTAGCTCTCACTAAATAATGCTGCTATGAACATTCATATATGAGTGAATACTTTTTAAAGGAAGAATTGATGGGACCTAAGTCAATTACTGGATGTTGAAGGAGAAGTATTAAGGATGCATGCCAGATATCTAACTTGAATAACTATTATTTAAAGTCATAATAGAGTGAGCAGAGTGGAAATATCAGGGCAGTGTGTGATACGTGAGGGTCAAGTAGCTATATAGAAAATATATGCTGACTCCAGCCCTATACTTTTGAGGGTAACAATTTTAAAGAGATTGGAGATCATATTATGATAATGGGCTTAACATGGGACTCTTAAGGTAGAGATGATGCTGTCCCCCATCCCCATCCAACAAGGCTGGGGGAATTCTTATGTTCTGTATCTTCCCTTCCTCTCAGTAAATCACTTATCCAAGTACTGCTTATAAACAATCATATGAACGGTTAATGCCAAGATTGCTTTAGCACCCCCTAAACATCTGTTTTCATCAACATAAGTAGTTAATATTGGGGAGTGCTATTTTCAACATAGAAAGATAGCTATAAACTTTATTCACTCAGAGTCCTTTATGTTAATTCATTTATTTAATGTAGATTTATTGGATGCTTATTTAAGCTAGATTCTGCAGAGAACTACAAAATGCTTACAGCACAGTTTCTGCCTCCAGTGGGGAAGAAATCATGAGAAGGATAGGAATTTAAAGGACTGCGAGCTCACTATTGTCCACTGAGATTAGGGAAGACTTTATGGAGAGATGGTGTTGGACTGGGGCCTTAAAATGTGGGTCGGATTTTAATAAGGAGACAGAGAAAGGAGGGCAGTCTGTATAGAAAGTAGCATGCACAAAATGGCTCGGGGGTATTGATGCCAGGCAAGAGTTTAGATTTTTGATGTAGGTCATAATGAGCCACCAAAGCTTTTTTTTTTAACCTGGGGAGTAGTAATTCAGGAGGATTTCTCTTCCAGTAATATAGGGGAGAAATTGGAGTGGGGAAAGACTAGAGGAAGATGTAAGAGATAGAAGGAATTAGAACTCAACAATTGATTAAACTTAAAGGACAAAAAGGGGGGAGAAAGAGGAGTTCAAAGCCTGGGTAACCAGAAAATGGTGTGCCATTAACACAAATGAAGACAACAGGAAGATATTATTGGGGGTGGAGGATGGAGAAGATGATTAGTTGAGTTGGAAGCACTCTAAAATGGTAGAGTGGAGAGTGGCTCATGCATAGAAATGACCACTGAAGCTGTGGGGATAGATGAGTTAGCCAGGTTGACTGCTCAGCAAGATGTCTGAACCTATGGGGAGAGCTACCTTTAGGAGGTGGTGGGTGAAGCAAGAGCCCACAAAAGAGAAAATTGGACCAGTCAGTGGTTGTAATCACGGTCAGCATCTGAGTGAAAAAAGCCTCTAAATTACGGCAGGTGGCAATTATAGTAGTTTCAGTAGATGGTGTGCAGCACAGGATCATTTCGCAATGCTCCATTCTTTTCATTTCACAGAATGAAAAGCCACATTGGAATGCAGTGAACTAAACTGAATAATATTCAAAAACCATTTTTGTCCCACAGACAGTATATCTCTGAGTGTTATTAGTCACTTTGCCATTTCAAATAAAAAAAAAAATCCTACGTCACAAAAGGTTCAGGGCTTCTGGCTTAGAATGCATTAGGATAAGTAGAACACCACAAGCTCCTAATTGGTCAGGACTCTGAACCAGTTTCCAAGTGTCTCTTAATGTGGCAAGAAGCAGCAGCTAAGACCCGGTATAAAACCTACTGTGTTCAGTGAATCAAGAGGCTCTCCCAACTGCCTTACCTTCTGACTCTTTGAATATGACTACAGTAATCCCATCTCCATTACTCCCACACTGAGCTATGACCTCTGTATACTCTTCCCAGAAGTACAAATTCTTAACAGCAAGCATATTTAACTTTTTAGTATATTCAATTTTAAAGCTTCCTTTTACAAATTTGTCAAAATAAAGGACAATATCATGGCTGCAGCATTGTGTATGTATTCTTTTTGTTTGTTAATCCTCACTGAGGATTTTTTTAATTTAATTTTTAGAGTGGGTAAAAGGGAGGAAGGAAGGGAGGGAGAAACATCGATGTGAGTGTGACACAATTGGTTGCCTCCTGCATGCACCCCGAGATCCAACCTGCAACCCAGGTACATGCCCTTGAAACCCAAGTACGTGCCCTTGACTTGGAATCAAACCTTCAACCCTTGGGTGCCCAGGTCAACACCCTAACCACTGAGAAACACCAACCAGGGTTCTGTACACATTCTTTTTTTGTGGTTTTTTTTGTTTGTTTATTAATCCTCACCTGAGGATATTTTTCCATTAATGTTTTGTGAAGAGTGGAAGAGAGAGGGAAAGACAGAGAGAAACATCAATGTGAGAGAAACACATCAATTGGTTGCCTCCTGCATGTGCCCCGACCAGGGCCCAGGGTGGGAGAAGCCTGCAACCAAGGTACGTGCCCTGGACCAAACCAAACCTGGGACCTTTTGGTCTGCAGGCCAACACTCTATCCACTGAGACAACCTGGCTAGGGCTGTACACATTCTTGACTGTGGCATTATTCTTTGGAACATCACAACATTAACATACCATATAAATGTCAAATTACAGTTCTTTTTTGGTTCATATAAGTAAATTCTAGATCAAGTAGTAGAACTTGATGATTTTTTTCATGTTTTTCTGCCTCTCCCTACAGATAATTTCCCTACAGGAAAAACTGAAATTTTTTCTGGAGAAGTGAGGAGAGCCTTCAGCCTTGCACATCCAGATTGAAGACTGCATGAAACTGTGCATGTTTCCGTTTGTTTCATTGTTTTATGTTGAATCATTTGTATTTGTTTCTCTGTGCCACTTTTTGCTAACTATATTTGAAGTTTTTAGTAGTGTAGAAAGGGACAAATTATAAAAAAGTATAGACCTAAGGACCCAACTCAACTATGGGACTTTGCTTCTCTTTATGAATTTGAGAATTATTTATATTGCTCTGTTCCATGGTGCCATCAGATGATTCAGTCATGCTTGCCAAAGGCAGTCTAACCTTGAAGGCTATGCAGCTGATTTGCATATGTTTTAGCCTTTTCTTCTGTTTGCTTTATGTATTTTCTAAAACATTGAATAAATTGAGTCATTTCTACCAAGGGCTAGGAACGGCTACAGTGAATTTAAGTGCCTACTTCATGGCAGCTAATAGTAGGTTATGCTCTGTCTCTGTTCATGTAATAGGGGCTGCTTTCCTACTCAGGGATGATTTTTTTTACTTTATTAGTATTTATTTCATGCTGAATTTACTCCAGGGCCATAAGTTTTTGTTTCTTCAGTTTCGTCTGGGGTATCTTTTCCTTCTGTGCAACCTCTTCTTCTCGTTTAGGAACAACCTGCTCTTCTTCAGTAAGGAGCATCTCCATGTGGCAGGGAGAGCTCATGTATGAGTTAATCCGCCCATGAGCTCTGTAAGTTCTGTGTTGCATCTTCGGAGCTTTGTTCAGCTGGATGCGCTTAATGACTAGAGAATCTACATCTAAACCTTGAAGTTTAGCATTACTCTCTGCATTTGTAAGCATGTGCAGCAAAAATTCAGCACTCCTTTTGGGCCGCCGACCCTGTGTCCAACCCCACTGTTTGGCCTGGGCACACCTATAAACGCCACCATTATAATGAAGGAATGGCACACATTGCTTCTGTAAACGGGCACCCTTCACATACTTGGTGGCTTTTCAAATATGCATACCCTTGGCGGCCTGGGCAGTTTTATGAGTGCTCTTTTTTATATTTTATTTTTTACATATTTTTATTGATTTCAGAGAGGAAGGGAGAGGGAGAGAGAGATAGAAACATCAATGATGAGAGGGAATCATTGATCGGCTGCCTCCTGCACACTCGACACTGGGGATCGGGCCTGCAACCTGGGCATGCGCCCTTGACCGGAATCAAACCCTGGACCCTTCAGTCCACAGGCCGATGCTCTCCCCACTTTGTCAGACCAGCTAGGTCTCATAAGTTCTCTTAAAGTGAAAACAAAGATTTGAACCTCTTGATTTGAATAATTTTGTGAAGTTTTCTGAGTAGCGAACCATTTTTAGAGGTCACCTCAGGCCACTTACGGGAAGAGTCAGGGATGATTTCCTGCCACTACAATCTTTGCCCTGATGTTGTGTTTTTAGGACTGTGTCTGGTTGTTATTTGCTAGCTAAGGGAATAGAGCAGAGATGAAATTCTAAGGGTTCCCCTTATTCTGAGCCTCTTCATCCTAACCCCCATCAGAAAAGGTTAGGAAAGACCAGATGCTGTAATGACTATGCAGACTCCCTTAAAAACCATGGATGCATATGTTTGTTTTAGCTGCATTGTTAAGGTTTTCCACTCTGTAATCTTTAAGCAATAAATAAATTCTTCATTTTAAATGGATTGCTGTCACTTTATTAAGCCACTTCCAAAAGGAAACTGGAGAGATAAGCAGTTAACTATGATTAGGAAATGTCACAAGATGCTGTCAGTACTGGAGCTCCTTCTAAAGAGCTCCTAGGATAACTCCTAAAGAACTAAGCAAATCACCTCATATTAACCATAGAGCTCCAATATTTTTATTGAATTATGTTTTAGTGGAATGAACATATGGTTGAAATCCCAGCTCTACTACTCACCTTGGACATGTTTCTATACCTCTTAGAGCCTCCATTTCCTCATCTGGAAATCAAGGGTGATAATGCTGATTACCAAGAAGCATCTGAGGGTTTTCTGGAAGTAGTCCAGCTAGACCCAGGTCTGGTCCCAATTGATGAAGTTGGTGTTTCTCTGGGAAATGTACTCACAAATTTTCTCTGCCACTTCAGGTACTCCAATTCCAAATTGAAGTTAGTAAGCCAAGGGCAGAGAAGGGGAGGGAGGTCAATATGTATGGGAAGGGCCTATGGAGGAGGGATAAAGATGGAATGCTGGGAGCTAACTAATGCAGGGAAGAAGTGGAATTAAGGGAGATAGACATGTTAAGGGTAAACTAAATGAAGCCAAGATTAGGTGAGAAGTTATAGGACAGCTTGAAAACCAAAATGATATAAAAATATTACCTCCCTCCTCCCCCGCAGAAACCCAGAATTTAAAAGATGAGAAGAGAATGGGGAAAAGGAATTGAGTGTCAGAGGCAGAAGGCGGGAGAAGAGGCAGGGTTTGAAAAGAAGATAGGCCTTTACAGATGAAGGAAGGCAGGGGACTGGAACAGAAACAGATAAAAAGTACCCAGGGCACATGGCTGGAGAGACTGAGATCAGTGAGGGTGGCACATATGCCACACATGGCATCCAAGGGTGAGAGAGGTAAAAGAACCCTATCTAGTCTCTGTCTGATACTGCAGCCCAAGAGCAGCCAGAGCTCTGCTGAGAGGCAAGGGGGAAGGGAAGATAACAGGAAGGGACAAGGTCAAATTCATGTGTCTGCAGTGGCCTTTCATTCCTTCCAATACCATATCTCATTGTAATCCTGGGCAACTCCTTTGCCATTGCACTCCAGTCCCCCAAGGCATATTGCCACCCTGACTCTCCATCCCACCCAACATACACATATATGATACCTCACAAAGTCTTTTTTTAAAAAAACAGCCCAGTGATTCTGACTTTTGTATATTACAGACCTGCACTGGCCAACATGGTATCCACTAGCCACCTGCGGCTTTTGAACACTTGGCATATATCTAGCCTGAATTGAGATGTGTAGCAAGCAGAAAATATACACAGGGTTTCTATAGGGGGACTGCTCTGTGCCAATGGCCTAGCAACCTCACACTATCCTCATAGGTCACATAGGCAAGGCTCAAATGCAGGCTGCTCTGGGCCTTGGCGAATGCCCTGTAATTCTATAGGTACATGGGAAGATAGGCAGTCTCACAAGGAGCTCCTACAAGATCATTCTCACTCACCTCCTTATCTTGAGGGAGGCTGCCATGAGGCAGTTTCTCATCTGTCTCCTTCATTCTGGTGAGGCATGGCATTTTATGCCTGCCCCCCAGCACCAAAGGGGACATCTGCAGGCCATAAAACTGCTTAGCTGCAGTTTGGAATTGGCTACTCAGCAGCAAGGTACCCCAGCATCCATGGTTCATGTCAAAAGGCTCCTTTTGTTTCATTGTTGTCCTGTGGGACAAGGGGTGCAGGGACCTAGTACCATTGCTGTTCTTGCTTTTGCTGTCTCTCTAAGTAATAAATTGTCTGCATCTATGTGGGTTTCTTGTTTCTTTATAAGCCTGTTTCACAATTTCTAAGACGTCTCGTTTAAAAAAGGAATCTAAAATATCATTAAGAATCATTTTATACTGATTACATATTGAAATAATAATATTTTAGATATACTGTGTTAAATAAAATATATTAGCAAAATTTGCTTCACCTGTTTATTTTTACCTTTTAATATGGCTGCTAGAAAGTATTAAATTGCGTATGTGGCTCACATTATATTTCTATTGGACAGTGCTGTTATAGATTGATGAAAAAAGAAAAACTGTGGTAGCAAAGAGGGACTAGCAGAGTTTTATTTTGCCAGAAAATGGCATTTATAAGAAACTATCACCACCAATTATTTACAAGGACATTATACATATAATCTAGAGAATAGACCTTTAAATTGAATAAATGTAACTTTATGGCCACTTACTGCATTGTTCTTTTCTTTAAAACAAATTTTATTGATTTTTTTACAGAGAGGAAGGGAGAGGGATAGAGAGTTAGAAACATCGATGAGAGAGAAACATCGATCAGCCGCCTCCTGCACACTCCCCACTGGGGATAATGCCCTTGACCGGAATCGAAGCTGGGACCCTTGAGTCCTCAGGCCGATGCTCTATCCACTGAGCCAAACCAGTTAGGGCTCTTTTTTTGAAAAAGTATATTTTATTGATTTTTTACAGAGAGGAATGGAGAGGGATAGAGAGTTAGAAACATCGATGAGAGAGAAACATCGATCAGCTGCCTCCTTCACACTCCCTACTGGGGATGTGCCTGCAACCAAGGTACATGCCCTTGACCGGAATCGAACCTGGGACCCTTGAGTCCGCAGGCCAACGCTCTATCCACTGAGCCAAACCGGTTAGGGTGCATTGTTCTTTTTTGTATTTTGTTTCAGGCTGGTAAAAAAAAAATTCCTCAGATTAATGAGAATGGTATTGAAGAACCATTGCCATAAGAGCTCATTTGGTGAGGGTATAACTAGCTAATGTGTGTAGGGCATTAAGAAGCAACCACTTCAGGTAACTGTGGTGGATGTACTTAGTGGGGGTGTCTTTTTGGTCCAGTAGGTATTGGACTCATCTGGTAACCTATGTTTTGCAGTGCTGCTGTGGCTTCTTGGCCCACCTTCTCTTCCCACACACAAATAAGAGAAGGGTGTAGAATATCAGAGTCAAAGAGTATATATAACCAGAGGAACCAAAGTAAACAAATACAAATTTATTCTTTTCAAAGAAGACTTCAAGGGAAAGGAGAAAAGCACCACAGTGAGTGGCAATCAAAGTTAACTAATTTGTTCCCAGCCCTGCCTCTTTGTCTCAAACATTTCCAGACTTATGTGTCACCCTTGTCATCTCCCCCGAATCTCTTCCCCAACTCCCATCCTCGTGACCAGTTCTTGCAGCCAGCAAGCAGCATAGCAGGCTCCAGTCCAGCCTCAATACTGCCCTGGGGACAACAAGGACATTCAGCAGGTCCCTCCGCCAAATGCAGCAGTTGTGGGAGGAGATGGAGGCTGGGAGCTGAGCCCTGGCCTTGAGCCTTTCCCTCTCCCACAGCCATGGGTGTTAAAAGAATAAGAAGGAACTGAAATATTCCTTTGTTCCTAGGGCCAGATTTGGCAGGGAGTCCCAGAGATAGAGGTGCCCTGCTGAGCAACTAAGTCTCCACAGCTCTAGGGCAAGGCCTCTAGTTTTCTCTTCCAGGACTGTTTATCTTAAGGCAGCTACTTCCTTGGTTATTTGTCACCTATGTCAAAGAAACTTTGATGAAATTCTTGGCCCGAAATGGTTTCAGAGGCCATAAGTCTACCATTGAGAATGTGTATTGAAGGAACACCCTCTAGCCTGAACACACCATCTCAGACAGTATGAGTATTCCTTAAAATGAATCTGGAGGCAAACCATCTCCCAGAATTGGCCTTTGCCTGTCCTCAGGATTTCTTATTACTGTAACCTAACAGCCCAGTTCCTGGAACAGATAAACTCAAACAGGTTTCTCCGCAATAAAATATTTCCAAACTTTGGGCCTTGAAGGAAATGGGTACTTGAAAGCCTTGATTTCAGCCTTTCCATTCTGGAGGGAAGGGCACATGTCTTCCTGGGTAAGGCCCTCCCTAAGGTTCCATACAACAAACAGCCACATGTCCTCCAGCCAGTCAGCCTTCCCTAACAATTTTCCAGTCAACATGACCCCACTATGCTCTCACTACAAGCAGAGGTACCCTCAAAATGGCTTTTGGCCTATATCAGATTCCGTTGAGAATAAATGGCCTATCAATCCTAACTGTTTATTGATACTATTTGACAACAACCTCAGCAAACACGTTTCTTATCACAGATGCTAACTCTTCAAGTCAGACGTTTTCCTAGGCTGTCTACCCAGCAACTCCCTTCACCACACTTTCAGTTGAGGGCCATAAACTATGCAACATCACACACGATACCTCCAGGAAACACATACGTGACAGATGCCTAATGACATACACCACATCTCAGTAAATGTCACCTTAATTTGGATTCACAGTGCCCAAGGATCCATTTACCTCACTACAGGAAAACTGCCTGCACATGAGGTAGTGACCGTCACTGGAGCTTTGAGAGATAAACAGGCATACCTTGGAGATATTTTGGGTTCAGTTCTAGACTACCACAATAAAGTGAGTCTCACAATAAAGTGAGTTGTAATCTTTTTTCTGATAGAGGGTCTTGCGTTCAATTTGTAAAAACAATGCAACATCTGTGAAGCTCAACAAAACAAAGTGCAATAAAAGGAGGTATGCCTGTACTTACCTCGGACATTAAGGTAAAAACAGGACCACAAAGTGTCAGTAACCCTGTTAGTGAGAATTCAACACTTCACCGGTTGCTTCAGTCCACCTAACAGCACAAATCCTACATAACAAAATCTACATCTTCTCTACTATGCCTGGCCCACTGCAGTTGCCACAGGCCCTCAGCAGCCCTGGATCTCTTGAGTGGAGTGAGGGTTACAGAAAGGATTTTCCAGGATTTCCCTGGTAAAAGATTGTTTTATAACATCTGACCTCCTAAGGCTTAGGCAGCCATAAACCTCAAAGACCCGAGCTTTCGGTTTTATAGCAAATTTCTTCTATCCCATTCCTGCCCACAATCTAGGCCACTACAAATATAGCTTCCCCCCACTCATGGACAGATGCCTAGGCTCTGTGTTTAATGCCCACCTACCACCTGCTCATCATATATCCGGATACCTAAGTCCTTCTGCCCAGAGACCTCTTGAGCAATAAGGTAGATGTTGTGATGAGGTCTGACACCGTGGGCCTCTGGCTTAATGCCCTGTGGTGATTCTAGAAAGAGGCAATCCTAGGCTTTTAGATCCAAGCTGCTGACTTCCCTCCTATGCAGCAGATAAATCTAGCTTCCCAGAAGCTGTATCCACTGGCACACTGCTTGATTATAACACAGCACCCCAAGCATCTCATACCCTCCTGACCTCAGTGGCAACCACAGCTTTCTTCATGGACCTGAGCCAGACTTAAGAACTGGAAGGGGCTAGATAATGTATTCTGTGTCTTAGCCTTTTACAAAGGCTACTAAAAGCCTATTTGTTACTTCTTTTCTGCATGGGGTAGGTAAAGCTTAGATTTGCTCTATTTTGGTACCTGAAGCATCATTCAGAGGAGCCCTGGAAAATTCATCCAAGGCCCAGGTCTCAAGAGAACAAGATTTGCAGTGAGTAAAGAGAAGAGAGTGACTCTTCCTGTTAGATTCCTCTATGGCCACAGGCTTCTGTTGCTTTGGTATTAAAGACAGCTCACCCCAAACATGAATAGAGAGACATCCTAGGGGAGCAGCCAGGATATATCTATCTGTTTAACCAGAGGGTTGGGCTAACAAAAAGCAAGGCAGAACATTAATACTTCAAGAGGTATTAGAATTTAATGTGTGAGTGAGGCCAGAGGAGTACTGATATACAGTAGATATGTAGGATAGATATGTATGTATATAAATTTAGGCAAATGAAGTCAATTTTAGGGCTCTAGGTTATAAAGCTCCTTTTGAAAGAAAGCTGCCTCAGTGGGCTCTGACTCTGTTCAAAGTTCCCAAGGTCACTTCCCCCTCCCCCGCTATCTACCCTGAATAGTTTCTGGATAAAGGGATCATGGTATACATTGCCTAGTAAGAGTTAGTTCAGTTTGAGATTTGGGTTCACCTTCTGGAGAGAATAGTTTTATGCAAAAGAAGGCCAGGCTGTTGCCTGTATGGAAAATGGTCAGTGGCTCCTAGGAACAGGCCACTATTCAGGGTGGCCCATTGCATCTGCCTTAGGATTAGCTGGGGACAATCACCCGCCTTATCCAATTCAGTTTAAAAGAAGAAATGTTGTTGGGCAGTCACACTTTTCCAGGCTAGTTGGTGGCTTCCTCTTCTCACCCGAGGAGAGCAAGACCCCCTTGCTGAGTAAGTTGCTTCCCCTCCCCCAGGGTTGTGAGAGTAGATTCAGAAGAGCCAAGGGTGGCTTCACCTGGATTTTCAAAGCAACTCAGCTGGTCTCTCATGATGCTGAGGCCTTCAGGAAAGAGGAGGATGGGGGGTGGGGGTGGAATCTGAGCCCATAAATATTTCTTTAATGCAGTGATTCCCAAAGTGGGCGCTACCGCCCCCTGGTAGGCGCTGCAGCGATCCATGGGGGGGGGGGGCGGTGATGGCCACAGGTGCATTTGGGGGCGATGAGTAACTGCTATTAAAATTTTTAAAAAAATTAATTTCCAGGGGCTGAGTAATATTTTTTCTGGAAAGGGGGCGGTAGGCCAAATAAGTTTGGGAACCACTGCTTTAATGTTTCCAAATGTAAGGTGGAAATAGGACCTAGAATGAACTGTTCTCTTCCCCATGAGAAAGGTCTGCCAGTAGAGGTCTGAGGCAGAGGAACTGAAGATATTTGAGGAGGAAACAACATCTAGGTAGCATCAGGATGGCTAGAGGTATGCCCTCAAGCTGAAGTAATATGACACATGCTGCCCCCAGATTTTTTTCAGGGGCACTTTGATGGAGAGGGGTTGTCTCAGGGATACCCTTTTACCTTTCTGAGTTGGGACAGGAAATAGGGCTAACTCCTGTGGATTCATAATGTTGGAACCCTGGGGTCATTAGGCTTCTCTATCTCCATAATTCCATGGAGAAGAAAAGGAAACAGCAAGCATTGTTTAGCTCTGCAAGGCAGCTTCCTTGCTCCCCATCTGAGTGGCCTCCAAGTGCTATTTGCCTGATCTGCAATAGAAATGTACTTAAGGGACCAGTCTCAAACTTGAAGATTAAAGGGCACATTTTTGGAGTCATAGGAATTATTCCTTTCCTGCCCCTGGCCCCCACACACCCACCTCACATACCACCAGATCTCTGCTGCTGCCTAGAGCCAAAATAACTCTGGCTGAGAAATGTGGGGCCAGTGGGGACTGGAAAGGTTGGGTGAAGGCTGAGGAAAGGCTTTGACAGAACTAGGAGAGGAGTATGCACTATAGGATGGGGATATGGCTCCATCAAGAGGCCAGCAGTGTGTTGGCAGTCACATCAGAGCTTCGCACACTGGGGAAGGCATGGCGAAGCTTCTCCATAATGTCCTCCAAGCACAGGCTGACATTTTGGCTCTTTGACCCCACATCATCTGTGTTGGAAAAGAGAAATTTGGAAAGGAAACTAGAGATTCCCTAATGACGCAAAGGGGCTGCAGTAGGACACCACAAGCTGAAGGGCAAACCCACAGCATTTGTGTCTTCCCAGGTGGTGCTACATGGATGGTGCTTAATATACATATGCAGAATTTAAAAAATGAATGAATTAGTCAATAAGCTAGTCATCCGTGACGCTAGGCTCAAAGCCACGAGGAGAAACCAGAACCAGCCCTAGCAGAACTTTAAGTAGGAGATCTAGGGCAGGACAAAGCATGGAGGAAGGGGCTGGGGGAACTCACCTGCAGCCTCAGTGTCTGGAGTAGTCTGTCCCTTCTCCTGGGGGTGACTGCCTTCTGACTGCTGTGGAGAGGAAGCTAGGGACGAGCCTGCAGAGCCATTGCCATTTGATTCATTGGGTGGCTAGGAAGAGGTAATGCATGACTTAAGTGGCTTTGCCTTCCTGACCTTACTTTGACAGATTCCTGAACTTAGAAGGGGCCTTAGAGACCTCATGCATGTCCATCCCTTTGCCCTTGGACTTCAAGAAACTTTGGTAGTGCCCCAAACAGTGGTCTACCCTTTGTGGAAATTTCTTAGAATATTCACTTACCAATTACCCTCTTCCTTCAATAAGATGTATCAAAGTCCCCCAGTTCTTATAAGAATGGCATTGCACCTAAGGGTGTTATTATGTCAGCTATAATTATGCTGTTCAGAAACCAATTCTCTCTAGAAATGTGGAGTTGCACACCTGGTCCTCAATTCATAACATATCATATATTAGAGACCTCCAAGCATCTAGAGGACATCCCTTGGAGGATCTGGGGAAGAGGCAGGGTGTGGTATCAACTGGTATGTATAATGACAATAGGTAACATTTATCAAGTTTTTACTATATTCCTGGCATTGTACTAAATTCTTTAAATGCATTATCTCATTTTATGGTCACCACAATTCCATGAAGTTGGTATATTATTATCCCTATCTGACAGATGAGGGTACCAGGGATTAGTGAAGCTAAGTAACTTTTCTAACACCCCACAGTCACTAATTGGCAGAGCCACATTCAAACACAGGGCATTCTGATTCTAGAGCTACACTATATAATATATACTATCTCTCAAAGAAGAAAAGGATAAACAGTAAAAAGAGCTCCCTTCACAGAAAAAAATCTTGCTCTTGCCAAGCATGTTCAAACATGATTCTTTCCAGCAGACATAAGAGAAAAATCAGTTTTGGATGATTCTTTGAACTTTGTTCTTTCAATACTGTGTTCAAATAGGTTATAGGGAAGTGAGCTCTCAGAAGTCCTCTCTCTACCCCAGACCCCACAGTGGCTTGAGAGTAACACACAAGGATGGAGTAAAAGCTAGATGGAAGAGAATTGGCCAAGTAATGCAACATAACAGGCCTTCCCTTCCCTTCCCTTCCCTTCCCTTCCCTTCCCTTCCCTTCCCTTCCCTTCCCCAATTTCCAGTCCAGTTCTCTTCAGAAGGCCATCTAACAGCCATGGCCAAGGAGTTCTTTCTTTCCTCCCTGTTGTCACATATCTACTCCACTGCTCCCCATCTCTACCCCCTGAAGGGGTCACACTGGCCCTTCCCCTGGCTTCAGCCTCACCTGCAGGAGCAGTTCCCTTAAGCGCTGCAGCTGGGACTCTAGCTGCTTGTTGTGGTCTTCAAGGATCTGCATGCGTGTCTCCAGGCGGCTCTTGTGCTGCCGAAGGATCCGTGCCTCAGCCAGAAGCTCCTCATTGCGGTGGTCCTGTGCCACCTCAGCAGAGCCCTCAGCCAGGGTGGGTGCCTCAGCAGCCTCCTCATGCTGCCACTTCAGGCGCCTCAGCTCTCCCTGGAGAATCCTGCCACGAACAAAGAAGCCAATATCTATGGCCCTAATGAGTTCTTGACTATCCCGGTCCCAAATGATCCCTCATATCTGGGTGTGAGCAATACTTTGGCTCTCCCATCCCCACCACCACCCCAGCTGTGTTCTTGCTTGAATGGCTATATCCACTTCCTTTCCAGCACATATGCCATTTATTCTGCCATCCTTGGGCCTCAGAGCAGAGAGAGCTATTATTTCATATAACAAATCTCAGGGCTTTAATGTGCTGCTTAGGTGATTGATTCTAACCTTAAAATAAGGCAGAAATACAGTCTGCAAAAAATGAGGCATTATAGCCACTGACTCACCTTCTGCGTTTTTAGATATTTAGAAGACATAACATAAACAAAATATCACCCATCTTCCCTCTTTTGTCAACTACCCTCCTCTTTGGCCTACTTTGAACACCCATGTTGAGTCATCAAGAACACAGATTCCAAAGAGATCATCTGCTTTAGGGACATTACTTTTTTTTTTTTTGGCAACAGAATAATTCTCTCCCCATTGTTTCCCAGGGCCTACTAACAGCTGCTCTTATGCAGTGCTTCTCAAACTATCCATAGTGAAGACTTATGGGGTGATAACTTTGTAAGTTACATGAATATCTAATCACTACGTCATACACCTGAAACTACTATAATATTTTGTCAACTGTAATTGAAAAAAAATTAAACAAAAAATAACTATCCATAATGAAACACCAGGGGGATTTTTCAATCCACTGTGGACCAATATGTGGTCTGAATGTGCATGGCTAGTACACAGCTCCCACCACACATGACTTGCCACACAAGTTCAACAATAAAGTGATCTATACCCTATTCAATGAAGATAAATCCACTAAGTATGTGCTGAGATGTCATGGCAATGTCAATAAGCATTTCTAAAAATTTACTCTCTATTTCTATATTTATCTTGTTTTGAACCAGTAACAAACACCTTGCAGACTGGCCCTGTTCTAAGGACTTGCTACTACAAGTACCGTCTGTGGACCAGTGACATGGGCACACCTGGGAGCTGGTTAGAAACAGAGGAACTAAGGCCCCTACCCAAACCTGTAAATCAAAATCTGCACCTTACCGAGCTCTCTAAATGACTTGTATGCTCACTATTGTTTGAGAAGCACTGTTCTATGGATTCTACTGCATGCCCCCAAAGTGGCTTGGACCATCCTCTGGCCCCTGCTGCCATAAATACTTTATGGAGTTAATGCCATTCCTGTCATCTTCTTCACCTTCACTCTTTCAGTCCTCAAATGTGCTATGCAGTGTCACTTTCCTCTTCTTTTATTACTTTAACTTAGTGCTAGGTATCTCTTTCCACTCCAACCCTGAAAATTCCCTGAGGGCAGAGACATGTATACTCTCTGGGTTTGTATTCTTTCTGCTTGCATCTAGTGGGTACTTGAAAATATTTGGGTTGAGTTAAAGGGGTTAACCAGTTAACTGCCACGCATCCGAAGATGCTTTTATCTCGTTTGCGTCTATAGATGCTTATGGTGTACAAAGGGTTAAAATAATTACTAGACTAGCTTGCACTTATTGAATACTTACTCTAAGCTAGGCACTGGCTAACACATTATATGCCTGATCATTTGATCTTCCCAAGTGCCCCTAGGAGGGAGGTACTATTACCAATAGTCCCATTTTACAGATGAGGAACTGGAAGGTCACAGAATATAACTTGTTTGAGGTCATATAGGTAGGATGTAGAAGTGCCAGGACTTGCAAGCTGCCTGACTCTAGAATCCACATGGATCTGTGTCATAGCCACACCCACCGGTTCTCATCCTCTAAGTGGGCCAGGACCTTCTCTAGCTCCCCTTTGTTTTCTGTGGCCATGCTGCATGGAACCTGCTGTCCGAAGCCGGGCTCCCGGTCTGTAATGGGGCTGGAGTGCCGCAACAGGTACTGATCCTCGTCTCTGCATGGGTGTGGGGAGAGGAAAGGAGATGGCTGGGCACTGAGACAGCTCAGGGCATGAGTTCTCAGCTCCCAGTTCAGGCCTCTGGAAATGCATGCTGAAGGATTCCATTCTAAGTCCCGTAGAAAAGGAAAAGACTATGTATTTAGGTTTACGAGGAATGGAAGTATTCAAAGGTGGCAGAGGTCATGGTTGGTATATACTAGGACAGAGTGTTTCCAGTATGCTGGGGCTTGTGGATTCTTAAAGCACTATGGGAAATGATTCTCTGTTTGTGCTATTCTTCTACCCCACCTTCCCTTCACTTCCCCATCCCCAGAAGGATCACTGGCTGCCTTAGTCCCGGTCAGGGCCAGATTGATCCATGTAGTTAGCAGCTCCTAGGCCCTCTGAGCAGGCCAGATACCTCCCTAGAGATGCAGGGCCTGTTCTTGGGGCTATAGCGCCAGGGAGTATCTCTGGCCACACTTCAGTCACGTCCCTGGTGCCTCCCAGGGTTGCTGTGGCACTATCTGGGCCTTTGGCATCCTGAGCATAAGGTAATGGCTCATTTCTGCCAAGTTAGATGAAAACAGTCTTCTTTCTCAAAGCTGGGATAAAAGGATGGGATCATGCAACAGAAAGGGATCTGGGCAGATGGCAGGGAGGTAGTTCATCATTCATCCCCCCCGCTCAGTTAATAGAGGGCAGACTGCTTCTCTTTCTAAACTCTGTGCTCAGAAAGCAGTCTTCCTTCTTTAGGGTATCAAATACCCTAACCACCATCCCCCCTCCCCTGGAGGATATACCCTTCCCAAGTAAATGGTGGCAGAAGGATCTTAAAGAGAGCTAGCTATTCCTGGAAAAGGAGCAGCTGTGAAAACTCACATGCTGTCATCTGGGGACAGGCTGTCATTAAAGAAGGAGCAATTTTGATTTTCCATCTCAGCAAGCCTGGGAAAAAAGAGGAGGAACAGAAGGGAAAACAGGATGTGGGGCCTGCTTTCATCTCAAGGATTCTAATCCCACAATAGAATATTAATTTTGGGGGCTGTCCCAACCACACCTAAGTGTTGGGACGCGCTGGTTGCCACATACCCCACTGTGCACACAAACCCCGGCCCTGACTCCTTTCTCTTTGCTCCAACCGAAAACCCCTTCCCCATGAGATTCCTTATAATCCCTGTCCCCCAAACCTGGTGGTACCTGCTGGCGAAATGCTCAATGCGGGAGTGTGTGTCAGCATGTGGCAATCTCGGGGAAGAAGCCGGCCTAGAAGAAAGCAGCAAAGACTCAGAGGACCAAAGACTGGGCATCTGGGCAACCTGTTTCTTCACCCCCTCCCCTAGTTAGTGAGATGGGAAAGAGATGATGGGAACAGGATACAGAGACTGGATTTACAGGGTCTAGTTCTTAGGCAGGATTCCTAGTCAGGCACAAGTTGAAATGCTCTGTCACTAGTTGGGTTTGCCCTGGAGCACTCCCCTAGCCCACATGGCACTCTGCCCCTTCTTAAACCCAGGCTCAGTGAGGCTGTCCACAGTTCCCACCAGCCACTGGTACTCACGTGTCACTGTACTCGGCCTCCAGCACTGATTGCACAGGCAGATAACCTCGCTGAGGGTGTTTGCTGAAATAATGCTTTGAGCGGAATTTGTTCTTTAAGGTTGTGGCAAAGTCTCTCATATTCTCACTGGATGTGGTCTGAGGGGACAGAGGGGAAAAGGACTTACCTTAAAGGCTTTGGGACATGATGGGGTAGGTGTGGCTGCTCCCCTAGAGCAGGGAACGTGACTGGTCCTCCACTCTTGTTCATGCCTACCACACCCCACTCCTAGAAAAATGTCTAGAAAAACACATGCCAAACTGTAAACACTGGTTGTTTCTGAGAATTTGGACCATAGGGGTGGGGACCAGGCTGAGGAGAGAGAAGGACTTTCATTTTATACTTTAAACACATCTATATAATTTGAATCTTTTACAATGAACATATATTCATTAATTTTTAAAGTATCGTTTGCAAAAATTCTAGGGACATAGATGAACAGGAGGTAGAGGATTACCAGTATACCATCTTGAGCCAGTTTTCCATGCATAACTTTTACAATATTTACTTTAAAATGATAACAAAGGAAAAATAAAGGTCAATGTCCCTGATCCCACTGAGTCGCACATGTTTCTGTGCCAACAAAATTTGGAGAAGAGATGATAGCTTGGAGAGATGGATTATGGGAAAACAGGTTGAAAAATGGGAGGTTTGGTGGGAGAGAGCAGTGGGGGAATATAAGCAGCCCTGACATATGCTTGGGGCTTTGGGAGCATCTATGAAATGGAATGAAATAAACGAGTTGAGGGAGCGGAATCAGCTCAAGCAGCTAAGTCTGGAGCTGTGGATCCTGAGCACAGTGGAGGAGAAATTGTGTGACTGGAGTCCAAGGATGTTGACCAATCTGGACTCAGGTGGCTATGAAGAGCACAGTTCCCAATGAAAACCAAGTGGAATTGGAGACCCAGGTAAAGAACATACCCCCTCCCCCCCCAAGAGACTAAGTAATTAATTTGAGGACAAACTTTGGTATTCACTAGAGAGATGGAAGCAATGACAAAGTAGCAGGTGAAGACCAGGTGACAGGAGCAATATAGGGAACTAGGCAGGAAAAACTAAAGTGAGCAACAGAAGCCTGTTGCCTGGAACTGTCTTACACTATTTTTCCTGAAACTTCTCTCTGCAGGAAAACAGTGAGTGCCTTTTAAATGGCTGAGAGTGTCCTGGGCTCCTATACCCAGCTGTGGCCCTGGTGATGGAGAAGCTCTGCTGGAAGAACATAGAGGCCTGAATCCCCCAAACTGGTGAATCATCAGGACTGTTGGGAGAATGTTCCCCAGAGGAGAGCAGAATACAGTTAGTCAGTGCTTGGCCAAGTAGATCAAGGGCCCAGAATCTGAGAGCTGTCTCCCCCTCCCGCTTGGCCCAGAGGCTCCATACCGGGGTGTAATACTCCATGATGGGGTAGTGCAGCTTGTTGCCTTTGCTGGCCTTGCCTGTCAAGAAGCAGGTCTGGCAGATGTCCACGTTAAATTGTTTCAGACTCCGGTACCTTGGGGGAGATGAGAGGTTGTAGGGCAGAGTATCCAGTGGACTATAGTGACCTCCCCATTCCCCTAACATCCAAATATACACACACATCAGAAGGGGGGTAGAGCATGGAGCCATAATATGCTCAACCTCCTATACATAGCAGTGGAGTCCTTACTAAATGACTAGCCTTATTGTAGAGAACATAAGTCTCCATAAAACTACATGCTCAGACCCCTAGGAAGTGTGGGAAGTATCACTGTCTCACCATCCTTTTTAAAGGGAAGGGAGGTGCAGGTATAAATTGCTCACAATAGCAAATAGCTTTCTAAAGAAGGATCACCCAAAAAAAGTCCAGTCTCACCACCTACATTGGAGAAGTCACTCTTCCCATATGAAGGCCGCTTATTCTACCAGCCCTGGGTAAGTTAGCTAAAAGTTATTCCCAAAAGTTTTTTTTTAATAATAAACCCTATTTTTACCCAATGTAGACTAGCCCTTCAGATCCAGTTCCAAAGCCTGGCTGAGCTGCCCAGACCTAGTAGTATATAGAATGGTGAAATGCCTAGGCTTTGAGAAGTCAGAGGAGCCAACATCTGGTCCTGGATCTATACTAACCAGCTGTGTGAACTTGGGCAAGTCACATTCTACCTCTTCGCCTCATTTGCTTATAAAAAGACTGGGTGGTTGTAAAGGGGGTGTGTGTCAGTGCTTTGAAAAGTCAAAAAACTGAGTGTTGTATGATGAAAGACATTTTCAGGATCGTGGCTATTTTTGTGGAAGGGGAATGGGAATGTAATCAGGAGAACTTAAAATGTATTGCAATAATGTTTTATTTCTTACGCTTGGTGGTGGGTAAGCACTGTGGGATGCTGGAGCTGGTTCACAACAGCTCACACGAGCCAACTGTTACAATTTCAGGGATTTTCTAAGCTGGTTGTTAAATACAGCCATTATTAAAAAAATAAATTCTATAAACTCACAATTAAGTAAATGACATTAAAAACTGAAGTAATAAATACTCAAAACTCATGAGGTTGTTTATGTCTATTGGATTTGCATGGTGGAAATACTATAAATAGTGTGCAACTGTGCATCTCTCCCCAACCTCCTGTGGGTAGCTAGACATCGGCCACAGTGGGAGTATTTACATCATGGAAATTAGCAAATGCTAAAAATTAGGTTCCTTTCTTGCTTTCTGTAGAGTCAGTTGTGAGCCATTTGCCAGCATACCATTTGGTACATAGATGTTCTTATGTCAGGATGCTGGGGCTTCTGAGTTCTACTTAATGCTCCCTGGGAAACCACAAGCAAATTACTTCCCTTTCTGTGCTGTCCCCTCACCCACCCCCTTTGGCTTCTCTATACATTTTTGTAGGTCTGGAATATTTCACAATACAACTAAAACAAAAGAAAATATTTCCGATTTTTTAAAATGTTAAACGTTGTGCAATAGAATTACAGTACATACCAATGTATACTAGATTAGCTGTAATTATATAATTATGCAATACATTTTTAATATATGATTTATTTGCAACATGGCCTATTTACAATTATTATCATTCCATCAGGTACTGTTTTCCCTACCTGAAGCCCTTGATGGGGCACTGCCTACAGATAGAGCACTTGGTCTGATGCTTCACTTGCTCAGCAATGGTGACTCGATGCAGAACAGCCAGCCATACCATGGATTGGGGCTCTAAGTTGACCCATTCCAAGAACTGTGAAGCTTCAATGACTGGCTTCCCAGTGCTCTAGAGAAACAAGAAGTCCAATGGCAATGACTGAGGCCCAAAGTGTCCCTAGAATGGCAGCCCTCAGAGGAGCAGGATAACTAGCAAAGCCTGGGTTGGCCTAGTCTCCAGAGGTGATTACCTCTGTCGTGTTCTAGTAGAGCTGACACCCTCTCTGGCAGGACTCTGACCCTAAAAGCCCAGAGAACCCTCTGCCTTGTTGTTCCATCCCAACAAACTCCCTTATATCTGAGTAGTTCAGATCAAAAGCTTAGCTCTTAGTCCTCCCTCCCTTCTTTCTACCCTCCCTCTCTTAAGCCCTCCCTTCCACCCTCCCAAGTTCCATACTCACAAAACGGAAGCAGCTACGGACACTGGGCTCCACATTGCTGCCCCCAAAGGCTGCCACTTCCCCCAGCTGACGGGGCACCTGAATGGCCTCATGAAGCAGGACACCAAGGTGGCGTTGATCACACTGGCTGCCTGAGTTGGCTACTTGGCTGAAGAGGTCTGCTGGCCCCACCATAAGTCATGGCCAACCCCGATGCAGGAATGGCCAGAGAATGAGCAAGGAGAGAGCAGAAAAAGAAGACAGGGAAAGAGCACATAGACTTAGCTAATGACTTTTGAAACTGGAATACCTAGAGGCCCATCCCTGACCTCCTAGAAGCTCAAGAGTTCTAAAAATAGCATTCTCTGAGTTCAGAGAGTAAAAGTGAGACAGGCAAAAGAGAGAGTACATCAGAAAGAGAGGGTATAGAGATGAAGACAGAGAGCAAGCTGTGAGAGCAGTGCCAGACACAGATATAATACTATTGGGAAAACAGATTCTCAAGAAGCAAGATTAGGGTGTATGGGCTCAGTTGTGCCTGAACATGAGTTACAGCTAGTCTTCCCTAGCTTATGTAGTCTGATATTCCAGTACAGTGGGGCCTTGATTTACGAGTTTAATTCGTTCTGAGACCGAGCTCGTTAAGGAGCTCATTAACTCAAATTACTCTATCAACTCAATGCAAAAAATCAGCCGAAAGACAGCTGGTATCTCAAAAAACTCGTTAGTCGGGACACTCGTAAGTCAAGGCCCCACTGTATTCTCTCAATTATCCACACAATTGGGAAGAAACACTGGCATGGATCATCTAAAAAGAGGAGCTAATTCAAAGCATTTGATCATCTAAGAATTATCTCTGATTGTGGAATAGACTGTGGTACTTATATTTGAATACGAACTATATCTGCCCTTGTGGGAACTCTCCTATTCTACCACCCCTTTAGAAAACCTTCTCCAAAGATTATTGTCTGTCTGCTTCATACCTCACCTAAGGCTTAGAAAACACACAAACATGGAAGACAAGGGCCTGGATTTTCATAATGGATCCATTACTGACTAGCTTGCACAACCTTAGGTAGGTCATGAAACTATACTGAAGTTTTCTTACTTGTAAAATGAAGATAAATAATCATTGTTCACCAAACTCAAAGTAATGTTGGGAGAAATAAGTAATATAGCTATGGACATGCTCTGAAAGGTTTCCTTCCTTGTAAAGTTTTCCCAGACTGCTGTCATTTCTCCTCTGTGACATGATATAGCACATATCCTTTACCATTCTGATTAGTCTAATTAACACTGTAAAATTGCTTTCTGTGTACTTTTGTCTCCTCCTCTGGACTGTAAACCACTTGAAGCAGGGACCATGTTTAATTGAACCTAGCACTCACCACATTTAGTACAGTGGTTAATACACCATAAGCACTTGACAACTAAGGATGCGGCTGTAGAAAAGTACAAAAATGTTGTACAAAAGATGAAAGATGGAGGAGAAGACAAAGGTACTATACACCAGAGAGGTTAAAAAATACAGAATTACATACTGTGCACTGCCCAATAACGGGGATTATTGCACCCTGCCCATGTAATCCACATAGGAAGTCTTCAGTAGAATGTGTGACATGGCTTGAGCTCCAGACTAGAGAGGGCTAAGCCTTATAGGCTATAGGGAAATATAACTATAAAGTCCGGGCTCTGGGTACCCCAGGATGCTAACTCAGATCCTGGTAATTACATCAGATTAGAAGAAACCAGACCCACTAGAGTGATACTGGCAGTAAAAATAGGCCTTAGGCCCATCTTGGTCTTTGGCTATTGTAGGTTCTTTGCAACAGCCTGGCCCAGAAAGTATCACAAGGTAGCCTGAGTAGTCCTATGCTAAGTAATAAGACCTACCTTCTGCTTGTCTTATACCATCTCTCCTCCCACCACACCTCTCCCTCCACCCTATTCCACTTCTAGAATTTGGAGTTGTACTCACACTCCAGTTTTTCCTTCACTTCTGTGCCACACAGGCATGCAATGCCAGTCTTAAAGGACAATGCCCGCATCTTTCCACTGCGACCACTAGGTTTAAAAGAAGAGACTGAGAACATGAATATATGTAAAGGGTTAACATCTTGGCAGTCATTTCCCTCACAGAGTTGACTTCAGTAGGGCTCTGTGCCAACCATGTCCCAAGCTGAGTTGGGTCCAAGTCCACCATGGGAGCAACCCCTTCCCACCAGGTCCACTCCAGATGTCCCATTGAATTTCATCCTGGAGACTGCCAGGGTTTTCAGTGCTTACCTATCAAAAACATTGAGGAGCCAATTGAGGCTCATGTCCACACAGAGTGGCACGTTGACCAGGATGCCTCTTTCCTCCTCCAGCCGTTCATATAAGGCAGTCAGGCAGTGAATGACCTCCACCACATCCATCACATGCTCACTGGCCTGAAGATCATGCTCATTAAAGATCTCCAAAGCTGTGGTTAAAGTGACCAGGTCCACTGAAAAAGAAAGGAGAGGGGGAGAAAATATAGCCAAAAGAAGAACCTCAGGGGCTAGATAAGGAGATAAGGCTACCAGCTTCACCAAATTTAACTCAATTTCCAGACAAACCATTTGTGAGTATGACACAGCTTGCTCTTTACCAAGACACTCATTAGAAGGAAGGGGAAAGCAGCAAAAAAAACCCCTAAATTAACCCAAAATGTTTCTATACCCATATGTTCTTTGACATCAGTTTCAAGATGGTATGATATGAATAAACTCATATTTACAAATCCATTTTGTATTTTGTTGGATAAATCCATTTTAAATTTATCTGTCTTTATACATATTTTATCTGTAAATAGGTTTGTCCATAGAATTTGTCCTGAGAACCTAGTCACCAGTTATGAAGGCTCAAGTGTGCTTGGGTAAGGGTAACATACCTCAGGGGAACTTTATAATTACCCCCAATGTTGGAAGCAGCCTAGCCAGATGTGCCAGGAAGATTGAATTAAAAGTGTTTCTGAGAAAGGCCAGAAAGCACATTATATCTGCAACCATGTTGTCCCCTAACCACTGGCATCTGCTTCAACAGATCTGCTACTACATTCAATCACCCCAAAATGACAAAAGAATACAAGCCCCACACTGGCCAGTGTGGCTCAGTTGGTTGAGGATCATCCCATGCACTGAGAGGTCGCAGGTTTGAATCCTGGTCAGGGCACATACCGAGTTGCTGGCTCAATCCCCAGTAGGGGGTGTGAAGGAGGAAGCTCATCAATTATTCTCTCTAGTACAGCGGTTCTCAACTTGTGGGTCACAACCCCTTTGGCGGTCGAACGACCCTTTCACAGGGGTCGCCTAAGACCATCCTGCATATCAGATATTTACATTATGATTCATAACAGTAGCAACATTACAGTTATGAAGTAGCAACGAAAATAATTTTATGGTTGGGTCACAATATGAGGAACTGTATTTAAAGGGCCAGAAGGTTGAGAACCACTGTTCTAGTCAGTCTCTCTCTCTCTCTCTCTCTCTCTCTCTCTCTCTCTCCCCTCTCCTCTCTCTCTCTCTCTCTCTCTCTCTCTCTCTCTCTCTCCCCCCTCTCCTCTCCCCCTCTCTTTCCCTCTCTCTTTCTCTCTCTCTAAGACCAATAAAGCATATTTTTTAAAAAGAATACAAGCCCTCAGTAGTTCCAAACCATCATCTGGGATACTTCCTGCCATAAAACAATTGTTTGATTATCCATGTTGGACAGGGAAGAAGGGACAAGGAAGAGGATAGCTGTGGGTTAAATTGGAAACAAGTCTGGGACTTTGGGAGAATAGAAGGGCCCTGGAAGAGCAGGTGTCAACAGCCAGGTAATCCCAGCCTTTGGAGAGTTCCCACCAAGTCAATCAACAACCCTGCCCAAGGTAGGATGAAAGTGGGAAACAGACCACAGATGAAGAAGGAAAGAAGCAGAGGGGGAAGGCCATAAAGGAGTGTGATGGGAGACTTACAGCGTAGTGCCTTTTGAACTCTGCGTAGTTTCATGGCAGTGCGGTAAGCTGAGAACTTAATGTTGTTCAGATCAGCTGCAGAGAATGAAAAGAGATCTACTCAGATCAGGGAAATGCAAATTAAACCACAACAAGATACCATTACACACCCACCAGATTGGCAAAAGATAAAAGTCTGACAATAACAAGCGTTATCAAAGATGTAGATGAATAACTGCTGGTAGAAGTGTAAACTGAATACAGTGTGGTATTAGCCAGTAAAATTGAACGTTCAGGTCTCCTACAACCCAGCCAGTTATATATCCAGATCAGTGATTTTCAAGTGTTTTTTGCCCAAGACACACAGTAAGAATTCATTTTACATCATGATCCAATATATATACATTCATGTGAGTATGTATAAATAACTGAACCAAACATTTCAGGAAATAATACCTTACTAGATTTTACAAAGTAAAAACATAAAATTAATATCAAATAAGACTCTTATTAAAGATTTGTAGCACTTTCTTTCATATTTCCTAGTTTGTTTCAATTTTTAAAATGCTTGTCATAACACTGAAACAATATTAAACCTGTAGTCTGAAAAACACACATATGTGTACCAGAAGACATTCACAAGAGCTCTTCAGCAGCACTGTTCTTATTAACTCCAAACTGGAAACAAGCCAAATGTCTATCAACAATAGACTAGATAAAGAAACTGTGGTGTATACAATGGGACACTCTAGCAGTTAAATAAATGAACTAAATTCACGTACATCAACCTGAATAAAATTTGCAGCCTAATGGTGAGTCTCTGTTAGTAGCCAAAGATAAGGCACATGAGAGTCACATTCATTACACCTGGGAATTGCCTTTCAAAACAGATCTGGTTTACGTCTACAAGCATAATTTTTTAATGTGATAATAAAGTGGTCCTGGGTGAATGTAGAGCCTCCAGTTGAGGGAGGTGCAGAGGGGAAATGAAAGGAGGCTGCTGGAGAAAGGACAAGGCACTCACTTCCATCCCCACCTGCTTGTTGAACGGGATTCCCTTCTGTTCTTATAGAACAAAGGCAGCTGAATATCCACCCTATACAGGATCCCTGAATTCTTACCCAGGGTTTGGTATAACTCGGTCATCTTGGGATGGTCCCAGCATGTGGTCTGAGCCTGGTGGCTACAAACAAAAGCATCAATAGCACCAGGGGCCACACCACCCCTCACCCGCCTCACACATGCACACACCACTCAGCGATAGGTTGGATGCAAGGAGCTGCAGGATCCAGGGTTGAACCCTGAAGATCCCAAAGCACAAGGGATCACCTTTACCCAGGTAGAATCTTGAGCTCTTGAGATGAGCAGGAGGAAAAACTGGACTGGATAAAGGAATTCAAACAGATAAGGAGTGACAAGGACAGGTAGAGAAAAAGACAGGCGAGGGAGGGGGTGGGCAGGTAACTGAGCCGCTTCTGATTCAGACGGTCACTCACTTGATATAGTAGGGAACTCTATTGGGTGAAATTGCTCTTTCCCAGGGAACCTGGACAGAGGCTGGTAAGGAAGAAGAGAAAGAGAAAGAAGCTGGTCACCAATGCTCTTCAGGCCCATAGAGACGCCCCTGCTCTGTCATCCCAAGGAGAGGTCAAGCCCCAAAGGGAATGCTTGACTCTCATTGCCAGATTTTAACAGGCCCTCAGGGTGGGGCAACTAATAAACACACTTCTCTCCTTGATCTTAGGGCAATGAAAGGAGAAGGTTGTCACTGATATCCTCATATGCCAAAGACATGGCAAGGGCATGAACTGGAATACTTGACTTTGGTTACCCTAAAAATCTTCTCCCCGACCAGACTGGCATTTCTATCCATTCAGCTACAGGCAGCTGGCATGCTCCTATGGATATGAAGTGGAATCTACATTCCTCCTGGGGCTCAAACCCCTTCCCCAAGAAGGTCAAGTTACTCAGTCCTGTGGAACAATAGGGAATGGTACTGTCCATTTCTTTATGGTGAGGAACTTTTTAAAGGATGTCCCCCTCTGCTCCATGTCTTTATCTTCTGATGTTGCAGGAGAGGCTAAGTTACCTGACCAACCTCCTCATTACTATTTCCCTGAGTACCAGAGCCCTCTGCAGGTATAACTACATACAAGTGATTGTAATAGCAATAGTTCTGACATTAACATTTATTGAGTTCCTACTATGTGCTAGATATTCTTCTAAATTCTTCTAATTTTCATATCTGTATTGTCACCATCTCTACTGCTACCACCCTGATCTGAGTCACTATAATCCCTCACATGGATTATTCCAATATGCTTAAGAAGTCTCCCTGTTCCTACTCTCAATCCCCAACACTCTGACTCTGTTGAAACATAAGTCAGATCATGTCATCCTTCTGCTCAAACTCCTCCAAGGTTCTGCACTCCATTTAGAATAAAATCCCAAGTTCTTACCCTAATCTACAAGGCCCTCTTGCCACCACTCTGACCTCCCACTCTCTCCCTTCCTTGCTCACTTCTACACCAGCTTCCTTGCTGATACTTAGGCATGCCCCTGTCTTAAGGTCCTGGCAGTTGCTGTTCCCTTTCCCTGGTATGCTCTTCCCTCAGACATCCACATGGTTCATTCCCTTACCTCCCTGAGGTTTCCTCTTCATCGCCATACTCTCAGTGAGGCCTTTCCTGACCACTCTATTTAGAATTGCAATGCCTCCCCCGCTTTAAGTTCATCACTTCCTATTCATCCCTTAGCTGCTTCACCTTTTTCCATAGCACTTGTCACCAATTTGCCTCATATATGTTTTTACTTATTTGTTTATGGTCTGGCTTCCCTCACTAGAATTTAAGCTCTATAGGTCTAAAGACTTTCCTCTGTTTTATTCACTGATGTAGCCTCAGTGCCTAGGAGAGTACCTGGTCCATAGTAGGCCCTCAATGAATATTATTGAAAAATAAAGTCATTAATTCCCATAACCCTGTGAGCTAGGTAATATATTTACTTCCTTTTATATATGGGAAAACTGAGATTCAGAAAGGTTAAACTATTTTTTTCAAGCTTGCACAGCTATTAGTCAAGGAGCTGTGTCTCAGACCTAGGTCTCTCTGATTTGAGAGCTTATCCTTTTAAACACTATGCTACACTCCTCTATCCTTACTGTGCCTAGAATGTCAAGGTATACTGGGATCCCACTACGTCCCCAAAGGACAACAGTAGAATCTCCTGGAAGGTGGCTGAGGCTCTGCTAAGTAAAGTCCAGTTTGTCTCACGTACTGGAGAGGAAGTGCTGTGACCCAGGCCCAAAGTCCCTGTGGGCATCCTGCAGCTGCTTAAGCCTCTCGCCAACTGACACCTATGGAAACAACAGGTAGGAAGTGAGCGGATTCATTCCAGGAATTTAGTGTGGGATTTCCAGGTGCCTCTGAGAATCTTTGTGAACTCCCTCATAGGCTGATTCTTCTCTGGTTCCAGCTCCTCCCACCATCACCCAACTGCTAGCTCTCCCACAGCATTCCCAAGGGTCAGAGATGAGCATCTCTAATTCCAGACCACAGTCACTCTTTTTTTGTTGTTTTGTTAATCCTTACACGAGCATATTTTTTTCCATTGATTCTTAGAGAAAGTGGAAGCGGGAAGGGGAGAGACAGAGTGAGAGAGAAACATCAATGTGAGACACATCGATTGTTTGCCTCCTGCACACTCTCAACTGGGGCCAGGGATTGAGCCTGCAACCAAGGTATGTGCCCTTGACCAGAATCAAACCTGTGACCCTTCAGTCTGTGGGATGAAGCGCTAACCACTGAGCAAACAGCTAGGGTCACAGTCACTCTTTGTCCCTGTATACTCTAAGTATCCATATTAGACAGGTCCCTCTCAGATCCTCATTTCAAGTACTCCTTGTAGCTTAGAGGTTGAGAAGCCTGTTACCTGGCCCCAAATTATCTACAATTTTTCTCCTATGTAGGTCCCATTTCAATGCACCTTCACTTCCTTTGGGTCTAGAGAAGTTCCTCCCAAGCCTAGTTATATAGAGGCTCTTCCCCATGGCTCACTCAAGAGTTCTCTACCTGCAGCTGTTTCCACCGGATGTTGATCTGCTCCAGGGCCCGGGAGTTCTCCATTGACAAGTGCACATCAGAAATGGCAAGTTGATGGGCCAGATCATTCACCAACTTCACTCCATCTTTCATGGGGGAGAATTCTTCTTTGAATAGCTGTGGAATCAGAGCCCAAGTCCCACAGTGGACAGATAGTGGGAAAGATAAACCATTAGTTATTCACCTCAACTCCTCCCTCTTCACTCCAAGATTTTGATCCAACAGCACAACCTAGGTGCTTCCCTATTAGGGTAACAGGACTAAGATGTAGGTGGCCACTTCCCTTATCCTCTTCCTTTCCTACTCACAGAAAACATCAGAGAAAGAGAAGACAGTAGATGACAGAGGAGACTCCAGCAAAACCAGCCCCCAAATCCAGCACATAAATTGATAGGCTCGGTTGTAGTCCTGGTCAACAATGGCCTCTCAGGAGCAGAAACATTGTCAGTGTCTGGGAGGAGTGTCAGGTATCAGGGTGGACTGTAGCCAGGTGAGGGGGCCTATATACCTTAAGAGCCTGGATGTGGTCAGGGAGTGAATCAATGAAGAGATCCCCAATGGGCTCCCAAGTGGCTCGGACTCCCTCAGCCTGAGTTAGAGTAGTACTTAATTCCTCCATTGCCCCTTGGATCTCCAACAGCTGCTCCAGAGTGCGCTCAATGTGGCGGTGCTGGTCCACACAGCGGGCTGTCAGCTTCTCCCATAGTTCACTGGCCACTGTCGCCTGCTTCCATACAAAGCGGCTAAGATTCTGGATCCGCTGTCTGGGAGAGGTATCTGCAAAGGCAGGCAGGAAGCCAGGTTAGGCCAACCAGTCAGGGGAAGCCCATGGAAAAACAGAGACAAAGACAGCCCTTTGTAAGATGTGCATGCATGTGCACCCATGGGCATGCATTTGTACATGTATTTATACAAATGCATTTTGCACAAACAAATCTGTAATCATTCAAATACAGATTTCCCCATGATTGTGCTCCTTTTGTACATTCAGGTTTTTAAAAAATTAAACTTTTTGCCCAGCCAGCATGGCTTAGTGGTTGAGCATTGATCTATGAACCAGGAGGTCATGGTTCGATTCCCGGTCAGGGCACATGCCCGGGTTGCAGGCTCGATCCCCGGTGTGGGGTGTGGAGGAGGCAACCAGTCAATGATTCTCTCTTATCATTGATGTTTCTATCTCTCTCTCCCTCTCCCTTTCTCTCTGAAAACAATTAAAATATATTTTTTTAAAATAAAAATTAAACTTTTTATTTTGAAATCATTATAGATTCACATACAGTTGTAAGAAATAATACAGCAATCTCATGCACTCTTTACCCCGTTTACCCAAACAATAACATCTTGAAAAACTATAGTACATTATCACAACCAGGATATTAACATTGATGCAATCCACCAATTTTGTTTAGCATTCCCCAGTTTTAGTCGTGTGTGTGTGTGTGTGTGTGTGTGTGTGTGTGTGTGTGTTTAGATCTATGCGGTTTGATCACATGTGTAGGCTCATGGATCTACTACCATAGTCAAGAGATAATGTTGTTTTCCATCTATTATAACATGAGGATTTCCTCATATTCTTTAAAAATGGGCATGGTAAATAGTGAGTAAAATATTTTAAGAGGCACAGTGAGGCAAATCATCCAGAGTCCTATTTACATAACACTGGAATGTGATTTTGCATTAGTGTCTAATGCCCACCCCCATCCAAAGAAGGGATGCATTTCATGAAAGACCAACCCCAGAGAAGTTAGTGTAACATGCCCAACTTTTCCACCTAGGCTCCTAAACTGTAGGTTTCTTCTTCCTCCTTCAGACCTCCCTTCAGAAGTAGATTCATATCTCTAAACTCTAGGCCAGTGATGGCGAACCTATGACACGCATGTCAGAGGTGACACGCGAACTCATTTTTTTGGTTGATTTTTCTTTGTTAAATGGTATTTAAATATATAAAATAAATATCAAAAATATAAATCTTTGTTTTACTATGGTTGCAAATATAAAAACATTTCTATATGTGACACAGCACCAGAGTTAAGTTAGGGTTTTTCAAAATGCTGACACACTGAGCTCAAAAGGTTCGCCATCACTGCTAGGCTAACTGGAACTGTCCTGCTCTCTCTTGAGTTCGTCCTATCTAAAGCCCAATGGACAGTAAATTGAGAACTAACCTCCTACTGAGGGGCTCAAGGAAATTAGAGGGTCAATGGCATTGACAAAGGGCTCAACTAATGAAGGTTCCTTCCAGGCAACCACTCAGACCTAATCACCACAGATCCCAGTAGCCTTATATGGAGATGTAGAGTGGCCCACTCTATTGAGGAAAGGTGCCAGAAGTCACTAGGGTCAGTATCAAAAAGTCATACTCAAAATTCTTCTCAAATGTCATCACCTAACTTTTTACATTTTAAAAAGAACTTTTTACTTGCTGGTTGATTAGAGCATTACCACATGTCTCTTTCTATGTTGGAATAAAGTCGTATATTTTAAAAAGACACTACTACTACTTGGATTGATGGAGTCAGTTCAATGCATTTGAGTCTTTTGATTTTTCTTTTTCATGCCTCATTAGAAGGCCACATGTGATGCCCCAGAGCCACATACAGCTTTGGGACAAATGTAGGTGTACCCTGCTTCAGGCTCTGTTCTCTTTGCTTTTTCTTGTAGTATGAATCTCTCCTCTCCAACTTTGGACTCCTAGGAGAAAGCTATCCTCCTAGGTAACAGCTGAGAAAGTGAGTTTGGGGAGGGCAGGAAGGTGTTTAGTTGGTCATAGTTCAAGAAGAAGGGTGAAGAAAGGAAGACCACCCACCTTTGCTCTCCAAACGAGGCTCCTCTAATTCCTCAAATGGGTGCTGGGACAGGAAGGCCTGAGCTGACTCTAGCACGGAGTAGATATAGGGGCCCCGAGACTTCACATCTTCCATAAATGCCTGTGAAGTTGAGCAACACAGTCAACAGGGAAGGAAAGTCTTTCAATCAATCACTTTACATTCCATTCTACAATTGACAACCTTTCTTCTCAGTGTAACTTGATCCTGTGGCATTGTCATGTACCTTTGGCCTACCCAGACAAAAAGTCCTCCCTATAGGCAGAAGAAAGAATAACTGTGACACTGGAACATCTATGTAGTATGAAATGCATCTCTTTGCCACAGAGTAGAGAGAATCATGGGGACTTGGGGCTGGGAATTTGGGTTCTTTAGAAGACTGAGAAAGTTCCCTGTAAGGGGCTTAGATAAACCAAAACCAGAATGAGCAAGATTACATTGATTTTAATTGACTTTTTATTGAAGTATACATAGAGAAAAGTAAAAAAATCAAAAGTGCACATCTCAATGAATTTCCATTAAGTGATTCCATCCCTATAACTAGTACTGAGATCAAGAAACAGAACTCCACTAGCATCCCAGAAGAGCCCCTCATGGCCCTTTCTGGTCACTATCTTATACTCCCCACCCACCCCCACCCCCCGTTGGGTAACCACTATTTTGTCTTGTAATTCCACCGATTATTTTTCCATTTTTGAACTTTATATAAAAGGAATCATATAGTATATCCTCTTTTTGTATCTTTTGTTTCAATCAACATACTGACTTTAATATTCATCCATGTTGTGACACAAAATTATAGTTTATTTTCTTGCTGTGTTATATTCCATTTTGTATGTATTTTTAATTGCGATATAATTGACATATGATATTGTGTAAGTTTAAGGTATTCAACATATTTATTTGATACATTTATATTGCAATATGTTGCCATTGTAGCATTAGCTAACATCTGTCATGTCACATAATTATCATTTCTTTCAGTGCATCTGTATATATTTTTAGAAATCTGTTGCTATTTTCTGATTATAAAGGTAATATATGTCACAGAAATCTTAGAAGTTTCAGAAAAGTATAAAAAAATTAAAAAGAACTCCAATTTCATAATCTAGAGTTGTTAACCATTATGGATATTTTGATATACTTCCTTCTTATGTTTTTATATGTTTGCATACATGTACTAACATCTATATATATTTTATACAATTGAGATCCACCTGTATATGTTTTTGTATCCTATGTTTTTTCAATTTATGTTATATTAGGTTTATTTTCCACGGCTCCACTAAAAATCATGACACGATTTTAAGGGAGGCCAATATTTGACAGGAGAAAGAGAGAGGAAAGATTTGAGTTTCTCTGTGGCGTGCCATTCACAGGTCTTTAGGATCGCATGCAACTTCCTGTTACTTTAAGTATGTAAGCGGAGACTGGGTGTCCTTCTGACAGGGTACTGTAGAAGCAATCCCTTCACGACTGAGAGGCACACACCATGGCCTCCATAATTTGAACCTACCGCATGTGTCTCCTTTTCCTGTTGCACCAGGGCCACATCCCCTTGTAGGGGCAGCTGAGCTGACAATTCCTCATCCTTTTGGCTGAGCCAGTCAATAATCTCTTGGAGAGAGAGCTGAAGCTTTCCACTGTGGTCTGAGAAGGCCTCTAGGCGAGCACTGCACACAATGGGTAAGACCAATGATTTTCAGTCTTGTTTTTAAGTGGCAAAACATTTTCTCCCAAACAAACACTTATGTGGAACATTAATATGTGTATATATATACATATTAACATATATATATATATATATATATATATATATATATATATATATACATATTAATACACACACACACACACACACACAGATTAAAAGGGAGTTACTCTGGTTGAAGTAGGAGGAGGTCCAGAGCCCTCCCTCTTACTCACCCACAGAGGCAGTTCCACATAGAGCTCACTGCTAAAACCAGTGGGTAGGACCATGTGTGGGGAGGTATCCCAAACTTAAGTGGTTTAACCTGTCACTTTGTGGACATCAGTTAAATCAGTCGCATGCCCAGCATCAGGCTAGGAAAGGCAGAAAACTGGGCAAGGGCATTAGAGATGACAGCTGTCTTCTTGCCCTCTTGCCCTAGAGCAGTGGTCGGCAAACTGCGGCTCGCGAGCCACATGCAGCTTGGCCCCTTGAGTGTGGCTTTTCCACAAAAAAATGACTTCTGCGCATGTGCCACGAAGTTTCCATCGCACTGTACATACGCGCCCGCACATGGTATTTTGTGGAAGAGCCACACTCAAGGGGCCAAAGAGCCACATGTGGCTCGCGAGCCCCAGTTTGTCGACCACTGCCCTAGAGGAACTCAACTCATGCCAACTGCTCATCCACAGAGGCTTTTTGGAGCCTGTTCTCTGAGCAGGGAAGGATGCAATAAGTGGGAAGGGCAAGTCAGGGGGTTGAGTGTAGGCACTCACATGTGCAAGGATGCATATAAATAAAAGAGGTCCAAGGGTCCCAAAGAATAATAGCAACATAGGCTAGAGGTATAACATATGGCATATTAAAAATGTGCACCGTATAATCATCTCTGTCAGCCTTCCCCCACAAATGAACCATGAGCTGAGGTCCAGGTGGTAGGAAGCTGGAGGCCAGCCTAGGCTGTGTGCAGTCATCGAGTCCATTCCCCTTAGCTGGCAACAATAATGATGCATTGCCTCCTTATTACCTGGGCCAAGCCCTTCCCCTAAATTTTTGTTTCCACTAATTCTCAGAGCAACTTTATTAGGTAGGCACTACTACAGTATTGCCCAGAGAGGTTAAGTAATTTACTCAAGATCACATAGTTAAGTCACTAATAGAATTTTAATTTGAATTTAGTTTTATCTGACTCCAGAGCCTGCATTTTTTTTCAATTTCTCCACACTGCCTCATCCCTACTAGAGCTTACCAGAAACTACAGGTTTGGGCTTTGATGATATAGTGTGGAGAAGAAAAGTGTGGGGTAGGGGATACAGTAGGGGTAGGGAAAAAAGGAACAACTGATATAGAAATTGCCTTCCAGCTCTTACTGAATTGTCCTCAGTTTGCGGAGCACTAGGTGGGTTAATAACGAATGGATGGGAATAGAGCAGGGGTGGGGAACATCCGGCCTGAGGACCGTATAAGGCCCTCAAAATAATTTGGTCTGGCCCTGCCAAGGCATTAGGGGTGAGTTAATTAAATGTTTGACCAATATAGCAGGCTAATTTTTTAAGCTGATAATTTTGTATGGCCCACAAATAAATATTCAAATAGCCCTTGGCAGAAAAAAGGTTCCCTACTCCTGGAAAAGAGGGATGAAAGAATGGGAGAGAGAGCAGATGAGATCTAGCAAGATGGAGAACAGTTATGCAAAGAGGAGGAGGAGGAGGAAATAATCATATCCTTCATTTATATATCAGTGCTTTTAAGTTTAGCAAGCATTTTCATATCTTAGTTGAATTCTCATGACAACACTGTGAGGTAGGTAGGACAGGTATTATTCCTTCACCCATTTTTTTCCTTAAAAATAACCCAAACAAATGGAAGCTAAAATTCAGATAACTAAAACCACTCAGCCAAGGTGACACAACTACTTAAACCTGAGGCTCAAATCCAAGTCTCCTGATTTCTGACCCAGGTTTTTCCTCCAGTGCCAGAGAAGAAAAGGGAGGAGAAGGAGACAGTTAGGCTAATGAAAGGGTGAGGTACAGGCTGAGAGGAGAATGACAGGCTGCAGCAGTAAAAGGAGCCCAACACTGTCTAAGCCAGGTTCCTACGGCCCCTGTTTGTAGGGAGCAGGCCTTACCGGAGGTTGTGAGACTTCTTCTTGATTTCATTCCAACACAGATTCATGGCTGATGGTTCCAGGGGTCCAGAGGTACCAACAGACCCATTGAACAGCTTTGTGCTTAGGCAGAAAACCCCAGCACCATCCTGAGGAGGTACAGGGGAGATGGCAGCAGCTCTAACCTGGACAGAAATACAGACATCCTGTGACCCCTGGAGTGTGCCTCACCCTGGTCTGTAGGAAGACAAGGGTGGGACAGGTGTGAACAAGGAAAGATAAGGGCTTGTTCCAGGGTATGTTTGGGGGTGAGATAAAGAAAGACTCGGTGGCTCTGTTCATTGCAAGGTCCACTCTTGTTACAGGTCAGTCACATATGGCTGCTGATTACTATAGTATTACTCTTATTATTGTAAATTCTGCTAGGACTACTGCCCAGGTGTGAACCTGGAAGTCCTTGCATTAGGTAAGAGCTGCTCAGAATTTCCCCAAATGCTGCCAACCACAGAAATAAAGATGAGCTGTAAGCTCCTATTTCAGGGTCCCATCCTTTACCCAACCTCTGGAAAAGAAAGCTCAGACCAGAGTGGGCAGCTAAGAGGACCAGCCATGGAGCCTGCCAAAATCTCGGGCACCCAAGCCCACAGTCCATCACTTGCTCGCTCTTTGGGGTAATGTAGGGTTTGGATGAATGGGGTTATGCCAAAAAGCCCTAAGAAGTTAGCTGCCTCCAACACAATGTCAAGACTGCTCAACAAGGGGGGCAGTAAGGGTGGAGGAAGGGGGGGTGTGGAGGAGGAAATCTCAGCTTAGCCTCTTCACCCAAGCCCCGGGAAACCCACTGCCTGCCTGTCCACCTGCTTGCCTTCCCTGGAAAGAATACGGTCCCATTTGTGGCTGAGATTGTCTAGTTTCCTTCCCCCCAAGACTTCTTTCCCACACAAGACTCTCCAGGCAATTTAGAACACCAACCATACCATTAAAACCACAGCTTGCAGCCACATACTAATAGGGAATTGAGGGAGCAGCCAGGTTCTGGGGCAAAACTCTTAACTCAGTCACCCTGCATCCCAAAGAGCTGACACTACCTGTGCTGCAGGGATTCCGTTGCAGGATGGAGCAGCTCCATGATTATCCCTCAGCACGAATCCAGACCCAATGCCTGGTGAGCCACAGGCAGTCTTGACAGGCTCTGAGCAGGCTCCCTCAGAGAGGGCAGGCAGAGCTTCGCCAGGCCAGAGGTGGGAGCTGTCACCCTGTTTGTTTACTGACCCCCCAGGAATCTTGAGGGGGCGGCTATGTAAGGGCTCAGCCGGTGAATCAGAGCTTTGTCCCTAGGGAATTCCGGCTCACTCCCAACTGGGCCCGCCACACCGGGGCCAGGAGGGCCCTCCCAAGCTGGCAAGGATGGCAGGAGTGGGACTGGGCATTCCATGGTGCTGAGGAGGGGCATGCAGAGAGTAGTGCCTGCTGACTTATTTTCATTTGCTGTGGAAGACACAAAGGATTCACGCTGCTTCCAGGCCCATCTCTCCCCTGAGGTGGAGGAAAGGATCAGACCACTTTGGTGACAAACCTCTCTGATAAGCAATTTCCCAAAGGTCTGCTAGGAGGACGGGCTTGGAAATAAGCCTTGTCTTTGACGAAGTAAGTGTCCTTAGAGGCAGTGAGGAATATGTGTGTCACAACTGGGGACAGAGCCGTGGGGTAGCAGGATCAGCAGAAGATTCATCTGAGCCCACTGTGGAAACATGGGGGTGCTCTGCCCTGCCTTTGGAATGCAGAGATTGGTAGGAGGAAAGTCATACCCCCCCAGACATCCCACCACACTCTAAGGCCAGAGGGAAATGGATGGTCTATGGACAGCCTTGAACCTCTGCAGGGGAAGGAAAGGGCAAAATGGCAGTGAGCAGCTCTATGTAGGGACCCAGTTCTAGAAAGTCTCTTGTGCCCTGCCTGTGCTGCCCTGGGCCACTGGCTTGACAGGCAGGGTCCCTTCTGTATGTGAACACCCTCCTTTTCCAGCAGACTTGCCTGGGGAAAGGTTAACATTCCCAAGCTGGACTCCCACCCCTCAGCACTAAGGGAAACACTTCATTTTACCAAAAAGGGTTCTGTTCCCATCCTTATTTATCTCCCACAGAGTCTTCTGGGCTTTCCACAGTTCTACATTGTTTCCATGCTGAGGCCCACCTACAGGAATACTTGGAGCAGCTGCCTGACCCTTTCTGAGAGTCTGGGATGGATGGGGGATGGCAATTGATGGTAGGCTAAGCATGGAGAGTGGCTCTCATTCCAGGTCACGGCTTTGCTTATGCTGGGATAATTGGGCTCAATCCAGTCTTGCAGATTCTCCTGGACTTGGAATGCCCCAGAGTTAGAAATGGTCCCTTGTGACCCAGCCACAACCAACTTCTCCTGGTACTGTAGGAAGTGCCTACAATGAGCTGGCTCCACCCATGTTAGCCTTTCATTCCCTCTAGCCTTCTTCTTAGTCTCCTAACCCCCTACTTGGCTCCCTTACTATGTTCCTTCACCCTGTCCTCCCCTCCTAGTTCCCCCTTATACTCACAAGTCCATGTAGCAGAGAAAGGCAAACAATAGGTAAATAATGAACAATAATTGTCTTCTTTCCCTATCAATGGCCTCCTACAGCTGGCCAAGATATTTGCTTCTCAACCCCACTCCCCACAGGGCTCTTTCCTCATCTCTTGAAACTTTAAGACAAAGTCAGGGCCATCGGGAAGGAAGAGAAGTGACTGGACAGTGGCAGAGGGGAAAAGGTGGTCTCACCATTGTCAATCATAAAATGAAGCCCTCAGGTCCCTGTGCCTAGGCTGTGAAGCTTGACGGGGGCAGACAATGAACAGGGCAAATCTTTTGAAAGGGCCCAGGCTTCTCGATCCCTTGATCCTATGAAAGTTCCACTCTGGGGAAGAGGTAGGTGTACTGAGGGACTCTAAGTTGACACTGACTTTGAGAACATGTTAGATGCAGCATTTTCTCTCTGGCTAGATGTGGAGAAAATAGCTCAGGAGAACCTGGATCTTATGCCTCTCTGGACTTTGACTCTCTCTCACTATTCTCCCCCAAAATGGGCTCCCCGGCACTTACATTCTCCATTTCCACCACCTTCCTTCCTTCCTTCTCCCTGTATATTCATCTGCTGTCTGTACGCCCAGCAATGCTTTAGCACAGCAGCCCACCTGTGAGAAACTAGGAGACATAGTATTTTCTTACACCCTCTTGGCCTCTGGACCCCAAAGCACTGTAGGGCAAGCCAAAATATGCTTATGCTTCTCCCTTGTCAGTTCAATTTTCCCATGGGCCTCTCTGGCTGCCCTCTTCAGGATTACTGCCTCTCACACATTGTCTGCCTACCTACCAACATACACAAGCAGGCACACACAGTACCACAACTACACTCCTAGGGGAGGAGAGAGAAGAAGCAGGTATCAGGCACAGGGGATTTTTAGTGGGGCTGAGCCAGGAGTTTCAAGTAAGGCTAGGTACTTGAGAGGAGCAAATGGAAGGAGGTGCAGAATATGAGGTATGCCACAGAGAAGCCAAGGCAAAGGAAGGTCCTGGCTTGTTCTAGACTGTGCCCTGTACGAGTACGGTCTTCTGGAACGCCCCTTGGTAGTTAACATGAAACCAGCCCCCTCAGCCATTGTGGGCTTTGGCTTGCCCAGCCCAGTACATTTCCATGCCCAATCCTCCCTCCCCTAAAATGCCTCATGAATGACAAGGGACAGGCCAGAAGGAGGCCATGTGCTATCCAAGGGGTTTCATGTATATGAAGAGTACCCCTGAGCTTTAGGAAGCATGGACACCCACAAGAACATATACAGATCTTGTATTCATTTTTTCTCCTTTTGCTACTGGCTTCTTACCTGAAGCTGGGGGCAGGTACTTCGGAGGCTGTTGCTATGATGGAAATGGTCAGTGGCTTGCCACTCATGACATCGTGGGAAGGTGTAAGGGCATCCCTGCATGACCATAGGTTGCATCAGAACCAAGGCTCATGAGGGGCGGGGGGTGAGGATGGGCAGTGCACCCACCATTGATCATAAGCACCTGGAAGAAAAAACAAGGGAAGATTTAGTCAAGACCCAGAAAAGCCCTATCAATCCATCAATCCAGCTCTTACCTAGAAGTGCTTCTATCAGTTGTATTAATGAGTTTTCAAAGCTTACTGACCTACCCAATAGCTTTTTCCAGGTAACCATGTACCATAAAAGACTTTGTCTAATTATTGATCAAGGAAGTATTTATTGTTTATCCATTATATTTTGTGCTAGAAATACAAAGATGATTTGCTGTCTGACATCTCACAGCCTAGGGATGGGGGTAGGGTAGGAGGCAGCCATGTAAGTTGATAATTATAATAAACTGCTTATGTGGCAAGTGCTATAATTAAAATTTGACCAGAAGGCTAGGAGAGAACACAGTGGAAAACAATTAATTCTATCTAAGAACATGCAAAGATATCAGAAAGACTGTGTTTGAGGTGAATCTTTTCTTAAAATATATTTTTAGCCCTAGCCAGTGTGGCCCAGTGGATAGCGTGTCAGCCTGCAGACTGAAGGGTCCCAGGTTCAATTCCAGTCAAGGGCATGTACCTTGGTTGCAGGCTCCTCCCTGGCCTGGACCCTGGTCGGGGCATGTGCAGGAGGCAACCAATCAATGTATTTCTCTCTGTCTTTCCCTCTCTCTTCCACTCTCTCTAAAAAATCAATAGAAAAATATCCTCTGGTGAGGATTAAAAAAATAAATAAATAAAATAATTTTATTGATTTTATTGGGGTGACATTGGTTAATCAAATTATATAGGTTTCAGGGGTACAATTCTATAATATATCACCTGTATATTGTATTGTGTGTTCACCACTCCAAATCGTTTCCTTCCATCAGCATTTGTCCCCCTTTCCCCTCTCCTACCCCCCCCCCACTCCCTTTTTCCTCTGGTAATTACCATACTGTTATCTGTGTCTATGAGTTTTCTTTTCTTAATCCCTTCACCTTTTTCGCCCAGCTCCCCAACCCCCCTCCCCTCTAACAGCTGTCGTTCTTTCTTCTTTGAGTCTGTTTCTATTTTGTTTGTTTATTTGGTTCATTAGATTCCCCTAAATAAGTGAAATAATATGGTGCTTGCCTTTCTCTGACTGGCTTATTTCACTTAGTATAATACTCTCCGGGTCCGTCCATGAGGTGAGTCTTGAAGGATGAGTAGATGTTTGCCTTTGCAGAGAAGGGGAGAAAGGGAGAAGGGCAGTCTCACCAGAGGGATCCATCTGTGCAAAAAAACCTTAACATGTTCAAAGTATAATTATAATTATAAAGTTCAGTATGGCTAGAGTTAGGAGGCACAGAGATGAAAAAGACATGGTGCCTGCCCCATGAGGAGTTTACATACAGAGAAAACAGATGTGGGGAAAATCAGGCCATAAAGTGTAACTTGCATTAATAATAGAAGTATTAAAAAAAGCAATCTGACCAAAATAATAATAATAATAGTAGAAGTATTGATGGGATGGAGTGAAGGGATAGATGAGGTGAGTTCTACCTGGTCAGGTCAGGAACAGTCTCTCCTAGAGGAAATATACTTGAGGTGAGTCAAGAAATAGAAGTTAGATTGTCATTAGACAGAGAAGATAAAACAAAAAGAACATCCTAAACAGCATGAAAATAAAATGTATGATGTGATCAGAATACAAGGCAGGTGCCTTATGGGAAGTAGCTGATGAGGTTGGAAAATGAGGCTGTGGCCAGATTGGGCCGTGCCTTGAATGACAAGCAGAGGCTTCTAGGCTTTGTCTTGTAGACAACAGGGAGGCACTGAAGACTTTAAGCCAGGGAATGACATGACCAGATTTGCATTTTAGAGAGAGCCTCTGGCTGCCTTGTGAAGCGATTCTCCCAGGGAAAGAACCCATTGAGAAGCTGTTACAATAGGCAGGCAGTTGTGGTGAGGATGAAACAGAGAGCATGGCTTTGAGATATACTGAAGAGATTAAATACATTGGGCTCTGTGATCAATTGGATGTAAAGTGAAGGGTGAGGGAAGTGAAGAAGACAAAGGTTTCTAATTTGGGAGCTGGGTGGATAATGTTGTTGATAGTAAGAGAGAGAAGGAGCAAATTTGGTGTGGTGGGGGTGAGAGCAGTGTTCCATAATAAGCTATGCTTGAGACACAGTCAGCTTTATATGTTAGTCAGTAAGCTTATAAAAGGAAGATATGAGTGAAAAAATTAGATGCTTAAACCAATTGACAGCTTAGTGACTATACACCAATGTAATGAGAATGGGTAGCAAAGACAATGTTTGCAAATGATAAAAGTGCTGGGCAAAGATATGCGAACCCTGATCCCAAAGGACAGGAAGTAAGCATATTTAATTCCTTATGCTGATGATTCAATAACCATCATTTTTAGTCTCTATTTCAGTGGTACCCAACACTTTCGGCATAAGAAAGAGTCCCTTCTTAAACTTAAAAAAATCACACTTCACCCACTCATATCTACAATAGTAGCTGTATTTTAAGTACATACAGAGTGAGAAAAAACACATCTATTTTTTAAAATGATAGCATTATTATTACTATTATTATTCCTCACCCAAGAATATTTTTTCCATTAAATTTTTAGAGAGAGGGAAAGAGAGGGAGAGGAGGGGGAGAGAGAGAGAAACATTGGCATGAGAGAGACACATCAATTGGTAGCCTCCCGCATATGCCACTAGAGGGACCAGGGACAAAACTGCAACCGAGATATGTGCCCTTGGCCAGGAATCGAACCTGAGACCCTTTGGTCTGTGGGCTGATGCTCTAAACACTGAACAAACCAGCCAGGGCAACACTTATTCATTTAAAGATCTGATCTGTAGACTCCTTGCATTAAACACCCTTCCCTCCACTCAGGGGTCTATGGTCCAAACATTGGGAATTACTACAGATGATGGGAATTACTATAGATGATGAAGGTGCAGAAATTTATGGACACTTTCTTGTAGTCAAATTCCCTAGATATTACATAACTCCTCATCCCCAAATAAATTCCCCAAAGAATAGTTTAAAAGGTGGCTCCCCTCTGATCCAACACCAACATAAAAGAGTTAGTACCTCAGGTAAAAATGAAGTATTGCTAAGAATGCGCTATAAGAATGAAACTACAAAGGCTTGTTTTCAGACCTCTTTTTATATTAACATTTTCATTTTTGCCAATTACACAAGTAGTGCGTGTTTTTCATAGAAAAACTGGAAAACACAAAAATTATAAGGATGCAAATAAAACTAATCTATAATAAATACTACCATCCAGAAATTACCATTACTAGCAGGTTTGAAGGTTTGAAGCCCTATATAGTTTTACTATGAAAAATATATACATATACTTTAAAAATAAAATTGTCATCATAGGACATATATATATATATATATATATATATATATATATATATATGAAATTTTGTATTGTGCCTTTTTTCATTTGCCATTATATATATATATAATTTTGTATTATGCCTTTTTTCATTTGCCATTTATATCACAATCACTTTAGAATGTCACTAACTATTCCTCTAAAACATGATTTCCTAATGGCAGCAAACGTGATAGAGTGGTGTTGTTGAGGCCATGGGCTTTTGCATCAGACAAACCTAGAGTCAAATTCATACTATTCAACCAAATAGCAGTGTGGTCTGGGACAAGTTCATCTCTCTGTACTTCAATGTCGTCTGAAAAATTGGGATGACAACAATACTTCCCTCATAGAATTGTTCTAATGATTAAAATTGTTCTAATGACTAAAACTTAGGATAGTGTCTGGAAATAGTACACTGCTCAATAAATGTCAGCTGTAATCATTATTGTATACCATTTCATTGACTGGATATATCATTATAGTTAGACATAAGTCACACTGCAATGAACAGCCATGTGAATATTTATAATTCTTTCCTTGGGATAATTCCTAGAAGGGAGAATTCCTGGATCAAAGGGTATGAACCAATTTCAGCTGTGATGCATAGTTCTAAATTGCTCTAGAAAAAAAGTTAGATCACTTTATACTACCACCGGCAATGTATGAGAGTGCCAGTTTTCCAGAACACTTGCCAACAGTGAAATAATCTTATTTTAAAAATATCTTTGCCAAATTTGTAAGTGATGATGGCATCTTGAAGATTGCTTTGTATTTCCTTAATTATTACAGATGTTTAACTCTCCCACTACATTTTTTTGTGGCCAGGTGTATTTCTTATGTCACAAACTATCTCTTTTTCTCCTTTGAGATTCACTTACAGATTAACTTCCTGATGTATAATTGATTGTTCACAAACAAAAATAAACCAAACCCAGGAGTTAGAGAACTTGGAGCTTCCAATCTCAATGCAGGCAGCAATATACTCCTCTTGGTTCTAGCATGACTAGCCTCGGGTATTTTCAGACTTTGCCACTAACTGTAACTTCAAGTCATTTCACCTCTCCAGACCTTGGTTTGCTAATTTATAAAATGTTAATGTTTCAGAGTTGCCACACATTAAAACTTAAGCATTCCCTGTATTTGTATAGCATGCTTTGCATTCTGCTGTACTGTCTTTCTTGATCCTCAGTGCAACCTGGTAAGGTTGGCCCAACCAGAATTATGATCCCATCTGACAGATGAAGATGCTGAGACACAAGTGAACCTGGGCCTCCTGACTCCTGTCCAGTACTCTTTGTTCTACACAAAGAATATTCTTTCTGACCCTCTATTTATCTCCATCCTGTCCCTAATTACTATCTGTACATACTGATTCTCTTCCTATTCCTTTGTCTAATTTGCAGAGGCTATGAGGAAGCAGAGATGAATCCAACTTGGTCCCCAACTGGTCAAGTTTAGGAAATAAGATATATAAACAAAAAAAGTATAACTTAAGAGAGAAAATGATTTGTACCGTAAGTAGGACAAGAAAGCATGCAATGAGAGGACACAGAGGAAAAAGTGTTCACCTTAAGTTGAAGGGATTTAGGATGTATCTATGGAACAGGTGCTTTTGATGTAAGGTGAGAAAGAATATTTGGATGCA